AGACGAACTCAGCGCTGCGTGCGAGACTGGGGGGCGGGTTTTTCAGAAAGTGATCGAAGGCCTTTGAGAACAGGCTCCGCGCCCGGCTGTCCTCTAGGTAGAACCCCTTGAGCACCCCATGGACGCTGTACTTGAACCCCCCAGGGACTGACCCATGCGCCGTGCTCTCCTCGAACCGAACTGCCTCTTCTGAGACCCCCAAAACTGCCTCCAGAAACCCGTCCCTGAGCCGATCGAAGTGTCTCTTTCGCTCAGCAAAGTCTGCGTCCCTCACTCTCACCGCCTCCTCGTAGTCGCCCGCGTCTGCGCTCGCAGTCAAAGGCACATAGTAGTCTAGGTCCAGGTAGAGCAGGGAAGGGGCCTCTCCGAGCAGACACTCGTACAGGTGCTGGTGCCGAGCGGGGAGACGGTTGCAGTAAGCCACCAGCGCAGGGACGTCCTTGAAGCTCGTGTACATCTTGACACCGCTGTTTGGCGCGCCGTCGGAGGCAACGAGGATGGCGTGGCCATGAAGGTCCTTCCAAGCCACGGCGAGGTCTCTGGGTCCCCTGCCGGACGGACTCTCCTTGCTTCTGAACCACTCCTGGCCGTACACGGTTGTTGCGTGCTTCTGCAGAGTTGAACGAAAAAGGGATCAGAAAGCTGCGAACTGAAAACCGAATGGCCGTTCAGCTGTGAGCACTGGCCTAAGTGCAACCGGGCCCGACATTCCGAAGCTCGAAGCAGCAACTTCAGAAGCGCTTTCTGCAATACTGCAAAAGATCGTGCGATAGATGGTCCAAGCAGCAAGAAAGTGGGCAAGGTAACTGCCTAAGGGCAATTGCCAGGGGCAACTGCCAAAGGCGTAGAGGGCAACTGCCAGGGGCAACTGTCAGGGGCAACTGCCGAGGTGCTCCGGCCTTAGGCCGTAAGTAGGAAGATGCTTACCAGCAGGCTGCCAACGGAGTCCATATCAGTCGAAGCTGTTGCAATCGAGTTCTGCTCGTCGCCGTTTGCTCCTGCAGTCTCCTCCACCTCCTGCACAAGCGGAATTTGTAAGCATCACATGGCACAAACGAATCAGCGCCCGGAATTTTGGATATCTTGTGGTTGATGGTGTCGGAGTCAAAAACCCGCCTAGCAATATAAGCTCATCAAACACCCAAGCACAGACTTTTGACTCGCAAAGCAGAAACGGCCATCCCAGCAGACATCCTCAGGTTCTCTTGTTCAATGGCGCTGAGAAGTCAAAAGCCGCTTCCTAGTATAAGCATATTCATCATTAGAGGATCCCAGATTTTGACTCCGTCCCAAGAACGGCCGTTCAATCAAAGCCCGAAAGTACACCTATGTGACAGCGCTCTGGTGCAAAAGTTGCCTCTACAGTCAAAGAAAGCAGAACAGCAATGCCGGCTCAGAGTTCAAACCGTAAGTCACCTGATCCTCCATTGCCACATCGTTCCGAGCTGCTACGTCATCGTCAACTGACTGCCCGCTATCCGTTAGAGCCGCCCGGCCTCCGTCAGATGTAGCCTGCGAGGACGGGAGCTATGAGTAAATGCAAGTAAAGGTCCACTTCAACTTAGTCAAGCTCAAGCGTTGTCAGCTTTATGTTGTGGCGCGCCTGCATAGCAATACTGAGCTTGACCTAATCCAAAGTTCGGGCGAGAAGCCTGCTACTCAGGTCGACCAGGCCCTGCTTTTCACCACCTAAGCCCTACCGTACTAAGCTGCCGTGTCTGATGCATGCAGCAAGCCGCGTCAGAGCGTCGTCAGGGGCCTTAGTTTCGAAGGTGCGTACCTGAGAGGAGTGGCAAATTGAGGCGCCGCCAGCGGAATTGTTGCCATGCCCGTCGACACGTGAGCGCAGCCTGCGAGACGGACGGTGAGCCACGTCTTGCCGCTTGCGCCTTTTGACCACCAGGGGGGGCAGCTCGTCGTCTGATTCGCCCATCTCCTTGTTCATTTGAGCGTACTCAACCACGGGATTGACTGCTTCCTGTGTCTCAGAATCGTGGAGAAAGTCGAGATCTTTGGATGTCGGCTCTTCCAGCTCTTCTTCCTCGTAGTCCCAGTCCTGCTTGTTCTCAAGGTCGACCTTGCTGGCGTCGGAGTCGCTTGAATCCTGGAGAATTGAGGATAAGTCGCTCTTAGGACGTTCTCTGAGCAGGTCGCTTAACCTAGACTGGCTTCCCGTTGAGACTTAGACGAGACAATCGTGAGATAGATGCTGAGGGGACATCCTGCTTCATTGCAACCACTCAGCTGACATTTTCCGTTTGAAAGGTTAGCAATGAGCTGCTCAAGGTCCACAGATGTTTGCTGCGTTACAAGTGCCTTACGTGCAGTGCAGGCAATTGCGCAGACGCTTCGGAAACGAACCTACAAGTGGAGGAAGAGCGGGAATGGCAGCTTTCCAAAACAAAAAAGCACTACTTACTTCATCCCCCGCTCCAGATTCAGCTTGTGCAGGCGGAAAGCGAATTGCCTGCCCAGGACTTCCTTTCTCAGCTGCAGCCTGCAAAGAGGGAAAAACAAGTAGTCAACAAGAGGTATCAAAGTGCTTTCGATGGCCCGGAAGTTGACTTGTTTGGATGGGACGGCCGCCAGCCACTCAAGGACCCGAAACGTCCTGATTGCTTGTCCAGAGGAGAGTCAAAACTTCGACCCAATGATATATCCCTGTGTTCTCAAATGCCCCCGGAAATTGACTTCCCTCCAAACCCCTCTGCAAAAGCCTCCCTCTCTACAAGGGCGCTACCGCAGCAAGGATCGCTCATCCTGCATAAGGGTTTTGCAATTTGATCAACTGAAAGTACTGGAACTAACGCTGGCGCCGGCACTGACCAATAAGCTGGTTTCCTGCTCAGGCTCACTTGCCAAAGGGTCCAATCTCTGGCCAATCTGCTTCAATGAGCTTTAGTCTGTGATCGATGCGCTTGCGATCTGCAAAAACTTGACGTTGTAACCAGACACTGAGAGATACAAGACCGGGCTCACCTCCATCCTCGAGTCCTCCATACTCAATTCTCCTCCACCGCTCTCCACAGGCGCCCCAGCACTCAGGCGCGTTTGCAGCGAAGGCAAGACCGAGGCTGAGGCTGAATCCTCGCTGCTAACCCCGTCTGATGAGGGCCCCGGGTTGCTATCGACGCAACCAATCATTAAGAGTATTGCTGCATATACGTTAGAATGAGGACGATTAGGGTGCACTGCAATGCTCGATTGCTCAAACGACTCGGAAAAGCAAGAGAACGCTGACAAAAGGGCGTCACTGCAGGGTGGAACGAGCATGCACTGCTGAGCCAAAACGTTGCGCGGACGACTGCATTTGTAGGGCTTTCGGTGCCTTACCAAGCAGCGAATGGCACATGGGCTTCGTGGGGGCCAGCGCCACTTTGAAGTTGGCCTCCTCCCAAACTGCACAAGCAACGAACCGTGCAATCAGCTGAAAGCGACAAGACGTGGCTGACGTCAGCAAACGGAACGACATGAATACTTTGCGCCAGAGCTTGGACAGCTTGGACAGGCCCTGTCCAAGTCCATGCAATCAACTACAGTGGATTCAAGACTGATGTCAGCAAGCCGGACGACATGAATACTCTGCGCCAGAGCTTGGACAGCTCGGACAGCTTGGGCACAACCTCTGATGATGAAGATCTGAGCGTCATTTTGATTGGAGGTATGAAGTTGGCGCCCATGTTTTACCTGGTGCATAGCAGGGTAGACAGGCCGTCGGTTTTGCAATCGAGCCTGGAGCCTCTCCCATGTGCTGCAGCTCCTCTTCAAGCCGCACAACCTCAGCTTTCAAACGGCGCTGGACTCGATCCTCCACCCAGTCTGCAATCACAAGCACGTGAGTTTTTTGACAAGAAGTGTGCTTCAGACTGAAAGCTGTGTCTGATCAAAAGCATGCCGCTTGAAGCGGTGACACCCTTGGCGTGCTTCATCGTGCTTGCAGGGGCCGCTCTTACTTGCTCGATCTTTGTCCAGGAGAAAGACGCCGCTCTGGGGACCGTGTACGCTGCAGAAGAACTTCAGCCCCCCACCCCTCCTTGCCTCCACGCAATCCATACTCTGCCTTGACGCCGCAGTCGAGGCAGCGAAGGTCATGTCGCTCTGGAGAGAAGCGCGAGCAGTGGGTTAGCGAAGTACTTTACATGTACGTATTGCGCAAGAGCTTGACCGCTTTGGACAGCTTCAAGACAGGCCATGTCCCCAGTGGACGCTATAAGCTACAGTGGATTGATGACGTCAGCATTCGGACCACAGAATACTTTGCGCTAGAGCTTGGACACTTTGGACAGATTGGATAGGCCCTGCCCAGTCGACGCTAACAGCTACGATGATTGATGATGTCAGCCCCGACACAAAAGCTTGCCTAGAGCTCAGACAGCTTGGACACTCCCTATTCGACCTCAAGCCGTCAATAACAGGAGCTACCCTAGCTCAGCTTTAAACCCTCAGCAAGGAACCTAGGAGTACTTTTCCTGGGCCCCCTGTCAAAACGGCCCAATGCTGCTTGAGCAGGACTGATTGGGAGCAAAAGCACTGACGGTGGCTTCTCACCTTGTGCTGGAGGTTCAGCAAGTAACCATGCAAGGTGCCGCTTCGCAGACTTTCTCGCCCTTGCAGATGAGCGGTAGAGGCGGACTGGCGAGGGCCCAGGAGCAGCTCGCGCCTCCTTGAACTTCTGGGCCCGCCTGCGACGAGGGATAGGTTCAGCGTCGCACTGCGCGTTGACAGCAGCGATGAGAGCCTCCTGCTTCTCAGCGCTGATTGTGATGCGCTCCCTGTAGTCGGCGGCGCGCGCATGTCGTGCCGCCTGACAAACTCGATGATCTGACTTGGTCCTTCCATGGGGCCGAGTCCTTGCCATGTCCTAGAAGAACCCCACCGCTGCACAGGGAAGTAAAGAAAGCAAATGAGAGAACTGAGTTCGGCCACAAATGCAATGAGTCTGGCGCTTCTTCCTTTCAACATAGACCTGTGGGCTAACCATTCTTCCCCTCTAATGTTCAAGTCCTTTAAGCTGTTGACATCCTAAACCCCTCAGTTCAGACAGTCTATGAATACAAAGAGGCACGCATGAGAGCGCCAATGAAAAGAGAGCAAACTTCTGAGGTGCAAATCAGAATGGATGCGCTGCATTTGAGCAGCGCTTAAGCAGCTCAAAACTTGAAAGAAAGTGACCCCAAGCTGGGCGCTGATCCATTGGGTCCTCAACAACCAACTACCAGCTTTTCATCATCGTATAGCGCCCAAGAAGGCAGAGGCAACGGCTTTTCTGACCCCCTCCAGATCTGATCTGGTTTGCAGCAAAACAGCTCGGTGCCGCACACATCATTGAGCGGCGCCCTCATGTTAACCATGTGCCCGATCAACCCTTGCTGTGGACAGCTATGACAAGTAATCTATTCCTTCTCAACACCCAAAGAGTCAGAAGAGCTGAAGAGTGCACAAAAACGTGAGAGTTGTTGAGCTGTGGGCTAGCACCGGCTGATTGGTTGACTTCCGAACAACGACAAGATACTCAGGGCTTGAGGAATGTTGCATGCAAACACATAGCAGCAGCACTTCGCAGATGATTTGAGCTGCTCTTACCTGTAAGTGGCGACCCAGAAAGTGGTGCCCACGGTGGGGGATTGTCCAAAACCAGCACCCAATGCAACTTGGAAAGCTTCTTAGTAGCGATTGAGCACCTATAAACAGAGGCCGCTTAGCAAGCTTTGTAGATAAGCTCCAGACTAGCTCAATGAAGCTCCTAGTCTGGGGAATCAAGCTCCAAGCCAGCTGACTCGACTCCCTATCCAAATGAGTCAGCAAAGTAGCAAACGATGCCAAGTGGCTGGCAGCATCAAGGTGCCATGAAAGGCACCAAAGGTGCCATTGCGAGCTGAGTGCCATCAGCAAGGTGCCGCAAGTGGCACCGATGGGTGCCAGGGGTGCTGGTGCCATTGCGAGCTGAGCTGCCACTATAGTGCAGGAAGGACAGAGCAACTAGAATTGACGCACTTCAATGTCCACACCGGTAACAGTAGACGAAGTCTTTGGTAATGGCTGGGCAGCTTGTAGACTGGCGGGGCGCCCGGTGGTCCCACCCGGTCTCGTCGCTGCTGAAACGACGGCCTCGCAACCTTCTTTCCCCGGGCATGGCCGGACTGCCGAGGGGGGCTGACATGGCGCCCTCCCAGTGGCCAGAACTTAATGCCGAAGTTCAATTGCTTTGCTGGTAACTTCACAGAAACGAAGGATTAGAACGTGGCAGTTGCTGCCCAACAGCGATCGAGCGCCTTCGTCTGTTGTTCAGACGACGACAGAGCAGCTCGAGAGCTCAGGTTGAAGTGTTAGCTCAGCAAGGCACGGAGAACACTCTGCTCGTGCTCTACATGTAGTGCGGAGAGCAAAGCAGACTACTCGACCAGTTTTAAGGGGCTTCTGCTCTAGAAAAGGGATGTACAACCGAGTTCCGTTTGTTCAGTTAAGGGGTTTGTCGCACTGCTGTCCTATTCCCACTTTCTAGTTGGGTCTTTCTAGTTTTGAGTCCTTCTTCCACTGTCTAGTTTTGAGTGATGGCTGACAACGTGGGCGCGGGAGGGGCTGTTGACTGGAAGCAGCTCTGCCAGGATGCTGGGTTGAGTTGGTCTGTGGAGGAGCTAGGTCTGGCGGGCATCCCCACAAAGGATGTACCGCTCCTGATCCAGGTCAGTCCATAACCTGGATCTCTGACCATGTCTGTTGTCCCCGTCAGGTTTTCGGGGCACTCGTGTGCTGTTGTCAGACGGCTTATATGCAGCTTTTAAGTAGTTTGAGCATTGGAGCCTAAGAAGAGAGAGTTGGGTTACGCTGCTGAGTGTCCTTGAACACCTAGGTTCGAGTCCTTCAACATAAATGGATTGCGAGAAAAGCTGACCCACTCAAGGTCGATGTCAAGGAGTGCCAACGATATTGTATCTTTACTTGGATGTGACAATTTTTCTGTGCTTCGTGCGCTTGATTAATTCAGAATTGGAGAGCCATGTATCGCTTCAAGCTTTGATGATTGTGTTTTCAAGTGATGAAGGTGTTTTCAGGAGGATACAAAGAAATGAGAACACACCAACTCTTAAACCCTAAAATGTGGCCAGCTCAAATCTCTACAGGAAGCAAATGTCTTTTCGCAGACTTGGCTGACGTCTGCCCTTGTGCAACTCTTGTCTATGAAGCAGCAACTGGAGGACAGCTAGCAATGGCTGGTTTGGAAGCTATCTATGGCAGTGTATAAACAACTCTTTCTTTGTCTTCACAGGTCCGCAAAGCTCTGGAAGAGTACCTACAGTTGGCAGGTGATCGCCAGTGGATGGTGCACCGGTTCAACCTGAAGCAGCTGCATGCAATGCTCGATGGTGGTTATCAGTATGTGGGGGATTTCGCGGTCGCTACGGACAGTGGCCTGAAAGCATGCGGACTGCCCCCGGCTGTAGTGGACAACGTGCTCTGCGACCAGGACAAAGGTGCGTCATCAAATTCTATGGAATAGGCCAATGCAAGATTGCTCTCGGAAGCCTTTATTGCATCATTGAGACGTTTGACTGAATGTTCAGGAGCATGAACCCAGCAGGCATTCATGTGAGTCTTGGTTTCTCTGTTTGCAGCAAGAGTTGCTCTAGGCCAGCGGCAGCAATTGCTACAACCCACAGGACTTCAAGGTGGGTTTTGCAGTCATGTATTCAGCGTCTGTACGCCTGAAAATTGATTCCCACATGTGACCTGTCCTCTTTTCAGCATCTCATCCTTCAAGTACTCGTTGTACTCTGGTAAGAGCGATGAACCTTTCTCAAGGCTTATACATGCAGAATACTTCTGTAAAAGTCGCTGGTGTTCCACTGTCTGCTTGGCGGCATGGTGTTCCAATGTGTGGTTGGCAGCAGCGCTCCTGCACCCAAAGTGCAGGTAGCATAGTTTCTAGTGTAAATTGCACAGTGATTTTGTGATTCCAGGCGCTTCTCCCAACAAAAGGCAGCGGGTCGACATCAAACTACGGCCGAGTGATTTTGGATCAGTAAAGAAAGGGGTGCCCTACTTGCTCCAGCCGCTTCGGTCAGATACCGATCCCCTCCAGCAAAGCAAGGCTTGCTTCATTACCGGCCGGCCCATGATCGCCCCTGTTCGGGGTGCCCTGTCAGCAGCCCTCTTGGCTCCTGAGTTTGGCCTCATTCTGGACGCCTTCTGGCGGGACCTCGGCAACCCAACGCCCTACTACTTCCAAGTGAGTGGTGTCCTAGGCACGTCTCATGTGGGGTTGCATCTATTGTTTGCTTCACCCTTGACTCATGGTACATGCCCTGCTGTGCAATTGTACCGGAAGTGACATTCCGTCGCTTCTCTGCATATGTGAGCCGGATATCCAATGCAGCAAGCTCAATTCCTGCCGTTAGTTCGGGAGGAGGTTGGAATCAAGCTCCTGGGTGCACTTCGCTGTCGCCCTAAGCTTTCAGGTTATCTACGGTGTGCTGAGCAGTAGAAACCTGCCCAAGAAAGTTTCTATGGGAGTCACTTGAGTTTTTTTTGCTTTAGCATTTTCTAATCTGCTAACTTGATTGCATGCAGCAAGCCCACAAGCTTCTAAGTTTGATGCGAAAAGTCTACCCCGACGAGAAGCATCGGCAAGAAGCATACATGGAGTGGCACAACGACACGTACCCAGGACTGAAGATTGGGCTTCCTGACCGTTCGACGTCAACACCCAGCCCCAGCATCGGCGAACCAGCTTCTGATGGAACGTTTGCGGTGCCCTCGACGTCTGGGGAAAGCCGATGTGCCATCGTACTTGAGGCCAAGAACGAGCTGGGAGCGGCTGGAGATCCGCACTTACAGGGCCTCCGTTACTATCAGGTACGTTAACCTGACAGAATGTGTGAAGGGCGTCCCGACCAGAGCTCATGTCTCCACTTCTAGTCTCCGTGTTCAAGTCTGTGAGCCAGTGTCACGAGCAGAACCCTGTGCTTTTATGACTTCAGATGAGTAGAAAGCGTAGAAACTGAGGAAGCGCTTGTGCAGGTCCTGTGAGAATAGAAGCTCCTTTAGAAAGCAGAAAGCCATCACTGTTTCCACACTTCTTACGGCAAATGAGCGCAACCTCAGCACGACAGTACTCCGCGATCCGGACTGACCGAACTCGCAACCTGTCCACAGATCCTTATTGGTGACGGGCAAGCAACGTACGACTACCTGGAGGCCATGGGGCATCCAGCCTTCCTCATTGGGCTGAGTGGGCCTCACTTGGACATAAGTGGTGAGATCTCCTTGGCGGTGCTTCGTCCCCCACTGGTTTCTGGATATCTGCTCAAGTCTGCTGTGGAGACACCGCTTTGTCTATTCTTGGTTTTTGAGTTTCTGCTCAGGTCTGTTGTGATAAAGTAAATTCTTTTACAGTATTGAATGACGAGTTGGCACACTCACGTTGTTCCATTGTCCAAGACTTTGTGCGATCGTTGAGCAGATTGGCGCTGAGTAGAGGCGGGCGGGTGAGATGGTGCTTTCGTGCCATTTTGGCGGTCAGCACGTGATGTATAGTTGTTGCAGCTCATGTATGTTGCATTCTTCTTTCATGCAGCCATGTATCGAACCGACAGCAATCAGGTGGTGCTGGAGCCGTTGACGCCGCTGATGTCCCTGACATTCGATCCGCTCCGTCAGCCAACAGCAATGGCCAGCCTTGCCAGGGTCCTTATGGCGCTCGGCGTGGCGGGATGGGGACTGGTGCAGCGCCTCCTGAAATTCCAAACCCCCAATGACGACTGGTTGCAGGGCTGCCAAGAGCAGCGTGTGCTGGTAAGCAAGCTGGAGCATATTCTGCTTTGTAAGTATCTTCCCCTTTTTAGCTGGCCAACTCATGTTTGGCGACATGGTATGAGAGTCAGGACCGTGCAGCCCATCTTTGGATGAGGCCTACGATGGAGCTTTACCGTTAACTGCAGAGGAGCAGCTGCTGTCATTGCACGATCAAGCCGCAAAGCATCTTTTGTGCGAAACAGGAGATGTCGCATGCACCAATTGCCCTTTCTTTCTTCGTTGGCCCAACTTGCAGGATGCTGTAACGTGGGCAGCTGGGTATGAGGGCAACCACTGCAGGAAGTGGTTTGGCTTCGTACAGAGCGCAGCCAACGACCTGAAAGCCCTGTGCGGACAGCGCGCGAAGGCTAGGGACTTGGTGCCGTACCCCCTTTGGACCACAGAGTACGAGGGACTTCGGCTGCTGCTGCCGACGAACTCCAACCGGTTGGTGTATGCGGCGACGAGACTGTGGGACGGGGTCAACAAGGCGGTGGTCATCAAACTCACCAGCGAGAAATACCCCGAAGAAGTGAGGAAGAGCGCATGCTTTTCTTGCAACGTTGGACCTGCCGTGAAGTATCTCAGGAGTCCTTGGCAAAGTTCTGCTAGTTGCGTACTGGCTATTGTTCTCGAGATGCATTTCACCATATTCAGGGCAATCGATCTGCGTTGACCCTTGTCCAAATCAATTGACTGTGGCCATGCAACTTGCTAATCGCTGTTCCCTACAGTTGTCCTACTCTCTTCTTGCAAAGATCAGATTAAGTTCCATCTTTCTAGCTAACGACTAAGGATCTGTTGAGAAGACACCAGGCAGGGGATCTAGTGCCTTCCGAATCTCGTTTCTTATGTGATATTGAGCGAAGCTTCTCTTGAATAAGCAGACAGCAAATTCCCCCGACGACTTTGGCCGTGATTATGTGATTTTGTGCTCAGGTGCATCGTGTGTGGAGTGGCGCGCAAGTAGCTCCGGAGCTCTGTGTTTGCGAGTCGCTGCCCGGTGGTGGCTCTTTGGTCGCGATGGAGAAGTTGGGGGCTGATTGGTCGACCCTCGACATGCTGGAAGGAAAGGAGCGGCAGCTGGCCAAGGAGGCCGCACGGAAGGCCCTTGCTCAAGCACACGAGCTCCCTGTGACCGTTGGGTCAAAGAAGGGGGTTGTTGTGCATGGGGATGCGCGCGGCCCCAACATCATGGTCCGCCGCTTAGGAGAGGAGTGGGACGTCAGGTTTGTTGACCTAGATTGGGCTGGGTTTGATGGGGTAGCAAGGTATTCATTCAGTCTCAACCCTCGCATTAATTGGCACCACGATGCAAAGCAAGGGGCAATTATGCGACAAGAACATGACCGTCACCTGCTTGACAGTGTTTGAAAGATGAAACACTGTGCTTAAGACAAACAGAGACATACGAATTGTGCATGTTTGGAATGAACGAGACGTCTTTTCATTTAGGCTTTCTGTGCATGTGCCCATGTCTTAACTGCATTTGTTTGTACATGCAACGCTGCTAGGTGCCTCGTGACAACGTTTTACATGGTATACCCAAAACATCATATGGTGCAGATTGATATCTTGAGAGTATACATCACATTGCATGCTGCATTAGGCGGCATTTTGGCGCAATGGTCCTTGGTGACTAGTGCATGATAAACTACACGTGTGTATTAGGCGGTCTCGACTGGAAGGAACAAATGTCATGTTACAAGCCACTTGCAAAGCATGGAGTTTATAGAATATTTTGCGCCGTTAACCATTGAGTCGATCCAATACTATAAAGCAAGCGCCCTGATATGGCAAACGGAATAAGTAGACACAAAAGACTAGAGTTGGCAAATGTGATAAAATATTAGATCAGCAGACCTGGTGGAAACTGGAAAGGAGTGCAGGTGGGTCAAAGGCCTTTGGAGCTGGTATGTCGGTATGGACTGAAGTACGTACTCGATCGATCACCCACTCTGTTGGTACTTTGGGACAAGGCCGGATCTAGTTCTCAATCTTGAGTACGTGCCTTAACAGAACAACATATATCAGTTCTGAACTTAAGGGCAACCTTCTTTGGACAGCAAGCATTTGATGAAGTGCTCTGGATGCAATATCCTTACCGAGCGGTTGTAAATCAGCGCGGTAATGGCCAGAGCCCGGTTGGCGTTGACCACCATGTGTCCACCGTCTGGGGAGGCCTTTCGACCTAGTTCGATACTCTCACAGAGTTTGGGTCCAGGGGGGCCGACCTGGCGACCTCTGATTAACCCCTTTTTATGCCGAACTTCATTTGGTTTGCTGGATTGCTGGGCTGCCAGGGGCAGAGCCGAACGTTTGGCAAAACGGGAGGACCCGGCAGATGCTAACCGAATATAGGCGGCTGGATGGCTCTATCGCCTATGGGATGGCCGTCCGAACACCGAGTGTGCCATCTACGGTCCAGGAAGACTTGGCAGTTCCCTAAGAGAATCGACGGCTTTCTGAATTCCGCGGCATTGCGTCATTGCGTGACCCCCAATTTTGAAGGTCGTGCTCTTGTAGGGTCTACCCTTGCTTTCAGCGTGACTCTGACGTCACTGGTTTGCAAAATCTGGGCCAAGGACAATTAAATTACACGTCTACGGTCTGGTCGAGCGACGAGGATCCTGGTTCCTAGGGCTCTAGGCTTAGCTGAGCTTGGCTCCGTTTAGGCCGGCCGCCGACCTGACGTACCTTCAGATTGACGTACCTTCAGATAGGATATTGCCAGATCTAGCTTAGGTATTCTGACTTCTGTCACTCAGTCTGACCGAGGGTCCTACCTAGGGTAGGTAGAATGGCCCGCACCGATTATCTTACCAAATTCCAATCTTCGACCCGTGGTCCGTACGGCGTGCCACAGTGGCCCTGACTCCTGACCGTGGCCCGTGACGTACATGAGGTCGGCTAAGGTTTCGATCTCTGCCGTACGGTACGTGCATGTCAGTCACGGCAAGTCACCGTTGTTCAGTGTTCGCGCCGGCATGGGCGCCGGGGCGGCAAATGACGGGGTTCGGGCCCCGCCGGATGCCGCCGGCGGTAGGCCCTGCACGGCCAGCATCGCGAAGTCGGCGTCAAACTTTGAAGTTGCCGCGGCCCGCCGCCGGCAGCCAATTGTAGGGTGCCGTGACTGCCGTCAATCTGAATCCGATTTATTCGGAGGCTCCCGGTCGAGCGTGACGTACGCAAGCACGGTATGTACTATGCCACTATGTACTAGGTAGTTGGGTAAAATTATGACATATGTACGGTATGGTACCTACGGTACACTGTGCGCAAGGATACAGTACCTTTAATCCAGAGTACGGTACACTCAAGTTTCAACATGCTCATGCGCGAACCAATCTCAGTGCTGGTTCTTGCATGGGAGGTGCCCTGCTTCTAGCTGCTTTTAGGACAGTCACTCAGTGAGTACCAGCTTGTTCTTCTGCCAATGCATGCAACTTGCATCATGAACCAATTTGCCGACGGCGAAAGCCTTACCAGTCAGGTAAAGGGATTCCAGCCTTCCAGCCGTAATCGCACAATCCCGCACTGATTTCCGAAAGTTGATGTTACAAGAAGTCTGTCAGAATCCAGCACTTGGAAAGTACACCTATGTCGGCACGCGTGCATGGTAGACTGGTACCGTGATTACAGCCAGGGCCCAGAGGGCTGTGCGAGAGCTCATATGCACAACAAATTTGGCACGTTGGGCAAGGCACGGATTAATCGAGTCCGATTTGCTGTCCCTTTCGGCCCTCTTCCGGCCATTACGAACCTGTCAGAACAATATTCAGCATAGTACTACAACCGCGTCGGAGCCATGTTCGTCCCAGGTTTTTTGCGGCTGTTTACCTACGACAATGGGATCCTGTATCTTTCTTGAGGTTATAAGAAGCTTCCAATGCAATCCCGATTGCACAGCCTTGGTGCGCGGGTCTTCCTCACCGCAAATGTATAAATTAAGAACCATGCAATCAGCTCAAAGATGAATGCAGGAAAGAGCTCCCGGACCTTCAACCACTTTTTTCCTCCCAAAAGTAAGAGCTGAACCCCTGGCGCTGGCGCCATTACGGCCCCGCTCGTGCGCCCCCAGCTTGCTCTGCCAACGCGCGGCAGCGCCTCATGAGCTAAGACCTCTCCTCGTTTGTGTTGCTACTTCCAAGGTTGAATGTGCAAGTGTTGAGGAAAGTGCAGCAAGGCTGCGCACGCCAGGCGGGTTTGTGCGGAACCAATTGACTCTCAAAGGATTCTGCGCACCATTCCAAGCACAATTCTCAGTCCAAGCATAATATTCAAACTCCCCTCCACATTTTCCCCCAAGTCAGCACGGTTATTTTACTTCACGGGTTTGTGGGGCGCGGGAGGGCTGCCAACATGACCATGAGCACCGTGATGAGCTGCCTGGAAGGGTCCCCCCGGGGAAAGGCTGCCGGCTATTCCCCCGGCGCATTCCTCTCGTCCAGCCTTGCAGGGGGCAAGATTTTGCACCCCTCGGAGCTGCTCCTGAACTGGCCGGAGTCCTGGTACGTTGCCCCCCCCGACGAGGGAGAGGGGGAGGGTTGCGCCTGCATCGAGCCTGCGTGTAATGCGGGGGAGTGCTGTGACATCATCGGGTTGAATCCGGAGGGGGGGGCTAAAGACGAGGACTGCAGCGAGGGGGGAGGCGAGTTTGAGAAGGAGGATCCTTCAGGGGGGGTCGTTGAGCCCGAGGAGGCCTGGGTGCTCGGCTGGACCGCAGACTGCCCCCCCCTCGAGGGGGAGCGCTGCGGGGTGTCTCAGGCCAGGCTTGGTTTCGGGGGGGGAGCTCTCCAGTGCCAGGCGAGCGTCCTCTTCCGCGCTCTGGTGAGCACTCGCGCGAGCATGCACTCCAAACTGCGCAGCCGACCGATAAGCGCGGTGGTCAGCGACTGGCAGATGAAGTGGAACTGGGACCTGGTTCTTGACAAGGTCAGCGAGCTCAATAAGCGCTGGGCGGAGCACAATGGGGGGGGGGCAAAGCGGGGGGGCGGGTCCCCCAGGGGGGGGGTTGTCGCGCAGTGGTGGAAAGGCGTCAGGAGGACCGAGGCGGGGGGGAAGCTTACCTGGCGGGTGCTTGCCAGCGGTAGCTGGGAAGTGTGGTGATAGCTTATGGAGGTGGGGATAGCTTATGGTAGACTGAGTTTGGGAGTCCCCTTTGAAGGACGTCAAGCACGCACCTTGACTTGGTGGGGGCTTCTGTCGTTCCGTCAGAAGCACTCCAAGATTTTCTTCTGTCAGAAGTGTTGGAGGTGGGAAAGAGCCTGACTGAGGTGCATGGAGCTGGGAGGGGGTGCAAAATCATCCTTGTGTGTTGCTTATTTGAGCGCAAAGGTGGTAATTAAGCGTTGAGAAAGAGCAGCGGAAGGAAACGCTACAGTCAAAGATTGAAGACGGTCTTCAGGGAGTCAGGTCGACACATGTACAATAGAAAGGTGCATAAAGGTTCATCCTTGAAGACAGGATAGTACTGCTAGTGTAATTGGATATCTCAGATTAGTCTTGACAGCATAGCGGGTAGCTTTATCCATGTAAGAAGGTTCTTCTTGAATGCAAACTATTGTGGGCAGGTTTCCTTTTAAGAATAGTCGATCAGAGTGAAAGAACTTATATGGTGTATGAAATGGAACTAGCGAGATCAAGTCCGGGGACTTGACCTCCACCAGCGTCAGACTTCACCGAGGTAGCTGGAACATGACAGTTTGTCTAGATAGCGTTGACGGTTTGAAGATGATTGCTAGGTTAATCTAATCGCTTCTATTTGGTCCTTCAGAAGTGCTATTGACCTTAGCTTTTATAAAAGCCAGATAACGACCAAAGGCCAAATATTGAAATTGTTACAACGCTTGTGACGCGGCCGTCTTTGACATCGACTTGTTGTGGTGATTGTAGAATGTGAAATACTGGTCGTCACTCACACAAGAGGCTCAGATTATATCAATATCAGATTATATGTTGAATTCTGGATATAGCTGATCTAGCTGGCTGCGTATGGTAGCTTTTGGCATAGATGCAACATTGTGAACCATGGCGGTATCTGGAGCAACGTCTGGTTCCGCTCGCGAGCTCATTGTTATTGATAGCATGTCGTTGAGATTGGCCCGGAGCTAGCTTCACCTGCGCTGGTATTATAACGCAGTGGATCCTCCAGTGAAACAATAGAAGACGTGCCGAGCTCACACAACGTACAATCTGCAAATTGTCACTGCGTTTGCGTGGACTGCGTCACTCAGACCGGACTGACAAATCCATTAAGAAGTTTCATTCATGGCTGCGCGCGTGGCAGCGTAGTCCGACTGCTTCGAGTATGCTACTGTTCAACTTATATATGCAACGTGGCTTTGCCCCGGCTTTGCCAGCTGGCAAGGCGGCCAGCCACTGGCACAAGAGACCTCTTACCGTCTATTAGTCAATAATCGTTGATTTCACCCACACAGGCTTCGGTATCCGCTCAAATATCATCCGCCTGAACTGAACCGCGGCTTCTTGCTAGTGATATGCAGCCCTTTGGTCACACAGGTGCTCGTCACTTTGCAAGAATAGGTATTTGAATGGTCCTGGTCATGATCAGGAGATTGCAGCTCTCTTTTAACTCGTCCCTAGCTGTATCGAAGCCGCGAGAGTACCGCCTGCCCATATCACGGCGGAAAAAAAGCAATCCTGAGCAGCGCAAGAGTCGAGTGAGACAACTCCCCCCCCAAATGTATAAACACAGTCCTGCTACTCAGCAACAATGGGAAGCCGCCTTTCATATTCTACAACTGCCAGCACGCAGATCCCCGGTAGGAGCCTGATCATAATTGCACCATACGTACGTATATCTATCTGTCTGCGGTGCCGCAAACCATTGTTTTACAACAAAGCGAGACCGTGTCAGCCCTGCGTCTTAGAATCTTAGCGCGGCGTTTTAGTTTCTCAGTGCTAGAGATTTTCTTTACCCAGTCGTCCAGTGACGCTCGATCAGAGCTGTCAGTAGTTGTGCTCGGCGCACTTGCTGACAAGAAGCCGTTGTGCAAAGCAGTCCTTTTCTAAGTAGTGCTATCTTCCTACCGTACAAACATCCTAAGCTTTTGGGCAGCTTCGCCCGCTCCTGTGTCGACTCCGAGCCCCCGGCAGCGCGCGGTAAAAGCTGACACCGGAGCAAGTCGAAACCGGTGCTTGGAAACAGTTCATCGTACTAGGCCAGTGATAATAGCAAACTCAAAAACACCCATCTAGTATTACATCCTACGTTAGTGCTAGCGTAAATACAGCGTGCCATAAGCAGTTTCAACCCCTCAGTCGAGCGGTTGAACCAGTTTCCATGTTATTGCTGCGCGTGTTCTGAGAAGCCAAAGTTCGCAAAGCTGCCCTTGCTTGCCCCGCTTATCCCTCCAACCGAAGACCCGATTCTACATCCCGGGCGGTAGGGTTTGACAGCTGTGCGGGCCGCACTGCGCGGCGTGCGGCGTGGTGAAGAACCGGGTCAGCGCGCCGCACACGAGCGACATGGCGGCCGCGGTGATGCCGACCGGTATCAGGGGGATCCCCCGCCAGAGGAACGTGCTCTCCTTCGCTGCACGAGAGAAAGGACGGGCACTTTGCTTTCTGACGTCACGACCTTCGTTGGCTCACGATGAAGAACCAGGAGGCTGCCGACGGGTAATCTCTTCCACTGAGAGCGGAGTTTGCCTATTTCCAACATCCGGGATTCGAAAAGCAACCCTCCACTTTTACATATGGCGGAGAATCGGATCAGGGGCTAAGATCCATAGCCTGTGACTTTCTTGACGGAGCCGCTTTTGAGGATGCTGAACCTCCAAAGAAGGGGTCCTGTTGTGTCAGACCTACTGTACATTTTCTCGAGCCACGTCCTTTGTGGGCAGAAACCCCCATGCCCTTCTCATCACTAGATTTGCACGGGTTCGAGTCCGAAGCAGCCGCTGAGGTGCTGTCCTGAGGGCCATTTCCCATACCGACGGAACCACTTTCCTAACAAGTTCAGTCGGTTTCAAGCCCGGTTAATTATCTAGCTGAAGTTAGTCAGGCCGGGGTTAGGATTTGCACCCAGCGGTTAGCCGAACCAGCACCGCAACGACGCCGCGTTGTGGGGCGACCTGGACGGGTCATCTTAACCTTGTCGGTTTGTGTGCGAAATCCCAATTCTCTGATTAGCAGGTCGGTTCACTCAAGGGACAGAAACCCACCGGTTAGCCGGACCAGGCCCATGACGACGCCGCTTCAATGGCTGACCTGGACGTCTTCTTAACCTTGTCGTTCCCAAGATTTTGATTAGCAGGCCGTTTTTCTCAAATCGAGGTTAGGAACGGAAACTCACCGTTTAGCCGGACCAGGCCCACGACGACGCCGCTGAGGAGGCCGCCGACGTGCGACCAGACGGAGACGAACATCTGGGCGCCTGCGGACGCGTCCAACATGCCCATCACCTGCGCCCATGCGTCCGAATGTCAGGGAAGCGAACGTAAAAGCAGTACGTGCGAATCCAAGGACATGCGAACGGGTTGAAGGACGGTGCGTCCGGAAGGCTGGAAGGAGCGTCCGAAGCTGCGAACAACGCGTCCGAAGAGAACTACGCCTGCGGCTAGGTCGGGAACGGTGCGTCCAATGGTAAAGTGGTTCGATCCGTTTTGTAAAACGACGTGTCCGGGTTATGGCGAGGGTTTGGTCCAGATAGAAGAACCGTGCAACAGAAACCTCAAAGCAGGAAGAGGCGCAGGCAGGAGCAGCGGGAGAGAGGCACGAGCGTTCAGCAGTAGCAAGGATAGGTTTGCTTTGGGAGCTGTCCGTAGGTATCATTCGTACGAGAGAACGTCCGAATTGAAGAAAGGTGTTGGAGGCGGTGACGAGTGTCAAAATCGATACGAAGGGTTGTCGCATGAGAAAGGAGCGTCTCTGATGGGGAGGTCACTTTCAAAGTTCAAAACCCAAAAGTTTGAAGAGACACTGCCACGAAGTGTTTGGCAAAACGTCTTTTCACGGAAGATGAATTCAGGAAAGGCAAAGAGATTGTCTGACCACTCGCCTAGATGATTACCGAGCTATATATTTGAAACCCAATATGTGAAACGAAGCGTTGGGGAGTTTGTTTGTAGTAACTTCTGACCTTATTCCAGTGAGGGATAGGTTTGCCGCTGGGGACAGCAGCGGAACTGAAAATAATAACGGATTCATTTGACCCAGTCTCACCGGTCAGAGTGTAAAGTACGTGGTAAATGAGATACTGACAGAACGAAAAACTCTGCCTGTGCGTTTGCGCCCCTTGAGAAGCTCACCACAACACACAAGCCCGCGGCCGCGAGCGTCGCCCCGTACGCCGCCCAGGCCGGCGCGCGCGCGGCCGCGAAAGCGCGCGCGCGCGGGAGCTCCACGAGGAGCATGCCCGCGGCGCCGACGACGAGGCCCGCGGCGCCGGCCGCGGTGCAGCAGCGGCTGTCCGCGACCGCGCCCACCAGACAGGAGCCGAACGTGATCTGAAGGAAAAATGACGGGCAGGGGGGTGATTTTGCAGTTACTCTGACCCCCCATGCACGAAGTGTGCTGCTTTGATTGCTGAGAGCTGTTGGGCTCAGGAACACGGATGCTGCCCACCAGACAGGAGCCGAACGTGATCTGGGGGAAAAACGAAGCCCGTGTCTGAAGAGAGTATTCACACCGCCTCTTTCCTGTGGTGATGGGTGCTCTCTTCACATCCGTCATCCACGTCATCCAACGAGCGGGGGTTGGAAACTCTTGTTACTTTGACCCCGTACTCACGAAGTGGGCTGCTTTGATTGTTGAGGGCTGTTGGGCTTAGGAACACGGATGCTGCCCTCCACACCGGAGCCGATGTGAATTGGGTAAAAACGACAGGCAGGGGGGGTGGATTTGCTGGTCCTTTCTCCCCCCCGACTTCAAGATTGCGTTGGATGTGAAGGAGTTTTGGAATCAAGAACGCAGCTGCTGTCAACAGGACAGGAGCCGAACGTGATCTAGGAAAAACGACGGGCAGGGGGTAAATTTCGCTGGTGCTTTCGGCCCCTCACTACGACTTGATTTTGTCCTTTAGAAGGTTCCGGGTCAGGAACGCAAGTGCTGCATATGGAACAGGAGGCGTAACGTGATTTGAGGGGACACGACGGGCAGGGGGGTCGATTGGCTGTTTTTGACCCCCACTGCAGTGTGCCGCTTGGGCATTGCGGAAGTTCGGGGTAAGAAAATTACGTGCCGCAAACGGAACGCATCGCAGAGAAACGAGGTCAGATGGAAATCCATTCCCACGAGTCCCGGGGTTGACCGCATACTCCAACGAATTCTCGAAAGCCCGTCTCCTTGCCACTGCTTGGGAAAGCGACCGGTCAAAACGTACCGGGCAGGAGCGGTACGTACCAGGAGGGAGCTAAAAGCCGCGACGGCGGTGTCGCAGCGCGTCTCCAGAAGCGACAGCACGAGCACCAGGGGGATTGCCATGGCGGCCAGGTGGAGCAATCTGCGCTCGGGATTGTGCCACGTGTCATAACTTGCGGCGTCTGTGCTCTTCAAACCTTTGCAAAAGACAGCGGATGCTAAAATTGGAAGCATGAAACAAATGGCTCTCAACAAATAGGTCTGACTTTGAATTGCTATCGGTAGAAAGGAGAATGGACGGCTCTTCAAGCTTTTTCCCTTCGCAGATTCCTAGCGAGGGGTTTATAACAGAGACGTCTCTCCGTCAACCGCGGCCCTTCTGGCGCCGAGAAGCTAATTGAACTTTCCGAGGTCTGGCAAGGTGACAGAGCCTTTTTTCCGAAGCTTTCATCCAGTTATCATTTGATGTCCAGGGATCCGCAAGAGCTTTCCAGGTACTTCTATCACGGGAGACGGAAATGAGAAAGTTCAAGGGCATGTGGTTACCTGGTGTGAATGAGCACCGGGGACACCCACCGCCACCATTCTCCAGCCATCGCGGCCACGCCGTATCTGCATTCACACCGGAGCGCGTTTCACGTATTGTGATTCAATTGGCCGGCGAGTTAATCGCGGCGTCGAAGAGTGCAAACGCCTTCGCAGATCTTAAGAGTACGGATTCCAGGAGATTTCCACGCCCTTACTCTTGTGTTAGCAACTGTATTTACGAGGGGAAGCGTTTGCATTTCAGGTATTAGGGCTTTGGAAGAAGACGAAGAGGGTTAAGCCGAAGGTCATAAGCGCTCACCGCACGCCCTACTGCTGTACAAACTGCACGCTGAAGCAGCGCTCTAAGATTAGATTTCTCAGACTTCCAGATTGTCTAGATTGTCTAGATCTCGAGTTAAAAGGTCCGATTGTTGGTGAAGGATTCCGCGTTTGCTGGAATTCAAATTTAACCCACTCCAAATCTTCGAAACATTGAAGGGTTACGTTGAGAGTTACAAGAGCTCACCCCGCGCCCCACTGCTGCAGGAACTGCGCGCTGAACGGCTCGTAGCAGCGCCTCCAAACCAGAATTTGTCGGATTTACGTCTAGCTAGCTACGAACTGTCTTTCTGGAAAATCAAAAACAAAATATTGAATCTTATAAGCGCTCACCGCGCGCCCCACTGCTGCAGAAACTGCACGCTGAACGGCTCGTCCTGTATCAGCGCGTCGACGAGCGTGCCCGGCCCCCACTTGCAGTTCTGGCTCAGGTAGGGGGATCCCTTGAACCCCGGCAGGCACGCGCGCTGCTGCGTGCCGCGGTACTGCGCCGCCATCGCCACGTGGACGCACACGAGCGCCCAGAACATGAACTGCGCGCGAGCGACTTCCACGTGTCAGGAAGTCAGTGGGCGGATGGAAATGGTTGGCGGGACAGTTGAAAAAGGGTTGGATCGCGAGTATGAAGAGAGAAGGCACCTTAGGATACTGTCAGCTTCGTTAGACGCTCCTACTTTGCAACGACGATTCGCAAAAGTAGGGGGATTTTCACGATGGAGTCAAGATACTGTCACATTCTGCCGAGGGCGTTCGCTTCTTTTCAATTGTGGAACAAGCATCTTGATCTGTGCCTTGACTTTCATCTTTGGTTTGCGGCGAACCGAGATGACGATCCCTCAGCCCCCTTTTCAAGTTTCACGTGGACCACCCTTTGCTTTATCCCTGGTCTGACGTCAGCGTCTGACGGCAGACATTCTCACCCACGTAAAGCTGAGGCGACCCTTCAACACCTCCGTCGCATCTCCCGCAACTTCTAGAGCTTCTGCCCACAGCTCACGGAAGAACCCTCGCCGGGATATCCGGAACGGTAACCCGGTCGACTCCTTGGAGGGAGTGTCAAGACCTTCAGGGGCCAGCTGAGAGATCTCCATTGACACCATCTTTTCCGGGTCGCCGATGCTGCTGACGGAGCTCCGCCGCCGGGAGCCGTTCGGAGAGCCGCTCATCTTCAGCATGTGTCGTATTCTGCATGGGGACATGATCAGCGGTTTATCTACTCCGGAGCGTGCTTGTTAAATCTTCATGGATGTCACTTATGACCACAAAAATGAGTTGGCGGACCTTCCTGCAGAAGAAGCTCTAATCGAGCCCCTACGATCTACCGTAAGCTGTAGAGATGCTTGCTTACGTTACTGGTATGCCTTGTTAGATAAACCCGGCCAGTCTCATGTTCAAAAGACTAGGCCTAATCAAGGCTGTGGAAGCTTCCATCCTGAGTCCATCCGTTCAAGAACACTTACGGAACATGCTTAGTATCCTTTCGTTGCCTTCACCTCTGAGGCAGGGACTGTTCCTTCCGGGTGTGTCCGGCGCCGAACATTCCTGAGGAGTGTCCGGAGCCACCGAGGAGGGTTTTATGGGTGCAAGGTCTAGTGTTCCATAGTTCTGGGGTTCGAGAGACTGGCGCTCGACCAGACGAAACATGCAATGCTTTTTCTTTCGCTATGATTACCTGTCAAGACGTGGGCTGTTTCTTCCGGGCGTGCCGGGCCCGGGACTGTCTTGCGGTGTGTCTGGAGCCACCGACGAGTAGGGCCGCATCAACGCCCCGGGGTCGTACCCCGGTCCCTCTCTTCGTGGACCTTCGTTCTTCCGGCCTGTTCCACCAAGAAGTGGTTTTAACTTGTCTATGACTGAATAGGCGAACGCCATGGGTATGTTTTGACCGAAATTCGGCTATCTCAGGCCGAGCGGATGTCACGCAAGAAAAGTTCAACAAATGCACGCATGCGCGAAAGCTTGGGGATAATCATTTGACCTAGAAGGGTCTCTGGTGCGACTCGCTGCGGGTTCAAGCGCCACGTGGCAGCATATCCGCTTTGGTCGTAATGTAGATCCCGACGCTCCCTTCCGTTCCAAGAACGGAGAGCCTGATACCCAGTAGTTGGACAAATTGCACACAAGCGTCAGCTCCTTCATCCTCCCTTAGGTTGTCATAGAATCTTTCCAAAGGTGCCTCTCAAGCCCTGAGCTGCGACCGAAGTTGCAGCTTTAAGGGGAACCGCGTGATATACGATCGAACGCAGGTTGCCTAACCTAACCTCACCTTTTGCCCCCCCGTGTTGCCGCCCCAACCGCAGCATCGCAACCGGACCCCTCGACGGCCGCCGCCCCCTCCCTTCCCCCCACCGACCCGTTCGTTCCCTTTCTTTAGAATCCATCCCCTTCTCCTCCTCGCCTCTCTCCACATCGCTGTCCCCATTCTCTGTAATGCTCACCAGCGCCCGCGGCCCGGGGAGACTCTTCTGCTTCTTTAGGCGTCCCGTCCTGCCATTCTGCCCCGGCTGGTCTTCAAAAGATTCTTCCCGGCCGCTCGGTTCGTGGTCAGTGTGCCTCCGGTGACTGAACGGACTGGTTCCGGGCTGGACGGACTCCCAAGAAACGGTCCCGTCGTTGACCGTGAACGCGCGGCGGCCACGTGCCCGGCCCGGTTTCACGGAGGGGCTGCAATTTGAGAGGAGCGGAATCCTTGCAACCCAGAATCATATGAGTTGCATTCGGTCGAATGATTCATAGTGGAGGCGCCTGAAGCAATGGTTTATGGGGGAAAGCTTCCTTCAACTAGGACACGTTTTTCGAGAATGTTTCTGCGTCATGTGCGAAGCCAACATTCAACCGTGATTGCGGTGGTGCCACAGATGGTGCTGGGTGCTCCGTAAAGCCGATACGCCCTTGATTAGAAGAGGTTTTAGATCTGAGATTCGCATGACAAGAAAGCTCAAGTTGTGTTCTCTGAAAAGTTCTGCCTTGACCACCAGTGATGGTAGCTGTTTGCTCTGCTTACAGTTATCTTGACCCGCCCCTTCACAGCTAACACCCCCCTCTTTCCCTTTCATTCTCACAAATAAGGGTCTGGAAACCACTGGCACAGATCCAAAGCTGACCCGTTTGCAGCAGCCACCGGACAACCCATCGACCCGAAATGCGGCTACGCACCTTCTAATCATCCGCAACTTCAGCAACCTAAGTCAGAGGAGAAACCCTCGCAACGCTCACCTGTTACCGCTGCCTTCTCCTGTGGAACCCCCGGTTGAAACCCTCCTCCTTCCGGGGGCTTCCGGGCTGGGCTCTTCCTGCCCCCCCTCAGAAGCTGTAGGCGAAGAAACCCTTATTGAAGACAGCCGGCGAATACGGCCAAGGTCCGAATGGAGGATTGCATCCACTGTGGGGGGGTCCACAGGCAGGGAGGGGGGGGAGAGGGGAGTGGAGGTTCCGTCCAGGGGGTGGAGCGTGCTGGTTGGGGTGGAGCTCTGCGGCCCCCCCTCCGCAAAATCCATCGCTTTCCTTACCCCCTGAAACGGGCGCTGAAATTCGGGTTGTGCTCAGCTGGGTTGATGCATTGGGAGGGGTTTTCTGGTGGGCACTTGTTGAGTGTGGGGAAGCGTAGCTGGGATTCGCTAGTGGGGGTGGGGGATTTCGTGTGATTTGGGGTTTAAAAAGAAAAGTGCAATTGTCCCAATTGGGCTGTGCTAACTAGCTGCAAAGGAGCTAGGGTGAAAGGGCCAGCGGCCATAGGATTTTCTGGTTGGACCTTTTGGATTTTCTGGTGAAGAGCGGGCCAGCTCATTTTAGGGTAACCACACTGCTGTTCTACTGAATTCAGCTCGTTATCCGTGTATAAGTTTATGCACTGAAGAGAGCCGCCCCATCTCCAGGGCAAATCTGAGCACTCCACTGCTTGATGAGCTAGGCCAGCCTGCCAGCAAAGAAAGAGCTGCAACCTGGTGGCTGCCGCGCAGCTATGCTTCAAAAGAGAAGCTCATTTGTCGTTGAAATGAGCACGGGCCAAATTACCACGTCTGCTGCTTTCCATCGGCCCACCCAATGCAGCTCGTGTGTGGCAGCTCCTAGCTCAGCACTACATTTTAGGAGCTTCAGTCCCAGCTCCAGTCTATGCGTCTGTTGTCTGTCAGCTTGCTTCGCAGCTCGCTCCTTGTCCCTCTTCCTGATTCGCTCCAAATTTGCATGTCTGTTTCATCTGTTGCTAACTTTGCTGCCTTAGTATATAGCACTGTAGCAGGCGCGAGCCGCGCGGCCGGCATGAGGCTAGCCTTAGTAGACGGTCACGACGGTACGGTAGCCGCTGACGGTCGGACCCGTGAGGCGCCAAGGTCCGCGTTCTGACAGCTGCCATTTGCTGATGGAGGGTCCGTCATTGGCGGCGATGCAAGCGGCTGGGAGGGCGCGGGACTGCACTTCAAATGTTGTCAGTTGTTCGCTGATGTCAGCTCAGTGCTACCCAGTATAGTACAAACCGTACAACGTTTACAGGTAAATAGGTAGGTACAGGTAATTATTTCGAAATTTGAACCGTCTAACCGTCAATCTTCGTAACGTGACAATAAACGCGCGCGCACGAAGTCAGCCGTGGCCCGTTGATTGTTTTTGAGGCGCGCGCAAGCGCGGCGCATTCAGGCGCCCGTCGCTTCTGAATTTACGGAGACCGTCTACCACGCGGACTGCAACATCAACGTGAAAGACGATATCCGATGATCGAGACGGGGACAAGATGTCCAAACCTTTGATTTAAGTACGTTAATATGTAAGTTTGCATCTCAAGTACAAATAATTTCACAAAGGGCCTAGCCTTTCAAGCTTGATTGCATGGAGCTTGTATAGCGGTGGTTGCATGGCATGTAGGTACTACGGACGTTTTAGACGTGGGAGAATAGCTTATATGCTCTAGTAGGCAACTTAGCAACCGCATGAAGAACTGAGGAGCAGTAGAATTGATTACAACACCACATGTATAGCAACTGCATGAAGAAGGATCGCGGAAAGATTACAGGCAATGGATACACCACATTTGTACGGTATGCCACTGGAAAAGCCTATTGCATATTGCATGCCTATTTGGGTGCATGGTGAAAACGACAAAAACCCATCGTCGATCATGGAATCTGCCGCAATGCATGACACAATACGATAGCATACTATGCTGCTGTTACGCCGCCGATGCCATGAGCTAGAGCTCAGTAGGAGCTTTTCTGCAATACCATGATATGTCTAGCCTGCATGTGCAATATTGAAAAGCAGCGCGCTATTGGCTGTGCGGATTTTTATGACTTCATAAGAACCATGTAACGCTGCCAAAAGATCCGCCTATTTGCGAACTCGGACTGGGTCCACTGAAGCTCCAATTCATTCCGTCGCCTTCTCCCTTCCGTGTCCACGATCACTCTACGCCAACTTTTTGAAAGAGATTCTCTCCAGCATCTCCTCAAGAGCATCAACGCAAAACTGGCAAAGCACTTCCGGATCTGGAACAACCTCCTTGATCGAACACGCGATGAACTTGACCTTGCCCCGGTAGCTAACAAAATGAACGATGAGGCCTTGTGACGTGCCCACCACTGTGGGCGTGAGCGTGGTCACAGGGACGCCCGCCAGCGTCACGGGCTCGGCAGGGCCTACCACGTTAGACAGCGAAATGGACGTTTGGACGATCGTACGTTTGGTCGCGAAAACGGCCGCCTGCAAAAATCGGGAAGAGCGTGAGGTCGCACGAGTGGCTTCCTTTGGTCGTCCGATGGGTTCGTCCTCTTCTTGATGTGCGGGTTCTCTCTGCTATTCTGTCCGCTGTCGTCTGAGAAAGAAGCAGCTGAGAGGTAGACTAGACGGGACTTGCAATCTACTCGAGACTGTGGACTACGACTTACTGGGCGGTTTGCAGATCAAGACAGAGCGGGTTTGCATTCGTTGCCCAATAAGCATTGACTCTTGACCCAGTCTCCTACAGCGCTTTGAACATCATACCGCGAGGAGGAGGAAGAACGAAGTCCGAATCGGACCCCAAACTATGCTCAGCTACTTCGCAGGCTCTCTACATCGGAGAGGGAAGTATTCACTCGCAACCAAGATTACCAAAGTGTTCCCTGAGACGTCTGGAAACAGACCACACAATCCTGAATATCCTGCCAGGAATAGCCAACCCGGTGAACTCTTCTGCTTCCGTCACACTCCTCCTAAGATCCCCTTTCTGTATGCAGCTCGCAAAAGCGGAATAGGACCTACCGAGGGGCCGAAACTGTTTAGGATCTGGACGCCGTTCCACGCCGTGAACCACGCCTCGATGGAGTTCTTTGCCATCGCCGTCTCGCGTCGCACCATCCGGACACGCACCAACGGGTCGCGGACCTGCAGCCGGACGTCAGCGGACGTTAGCGGCCGAAAAATCGGCCACAGTGAATGGGAGGGCCGGTCGTCTCGGTTCACATTGAGCGAAGAGACAGTCCTTTCTGCTTCGAGAGATATCTTCCTGCAGCCGGACGTCAGCGGAAGCCAGCGAACATGAGCCGAGTATCAGCGGCCAACCTGTGAGAAGACCGGTCGTTATGAATGGCCACAGAGAAACTATTGCAATTCGCTTGGAGGCTACTCCTGCAGCCAGACGTCAGTAGACGCCGGCGGACGTCAGCAGACGGTCAGTTGGCAGGAGCTATTAGAAAATCGGTCGTTCTGACTTAGAGGATCTGATGATCTCTAATCCACCTTTGGAAAAGGTGGACCTGCACCCGGACGTCCGTGGACGGTCGGTTCACCTCGGTCTAACGGAGGACCCGGAGCAGGACGTTCGGAAAGGGCCAGCGATTGCTTTCGTCAGACCTGAGTTATCTAGCTTAACGTAAAAGAGGCTCCAACAATCATCCAACGTAATCGGTACTTCTGGGCAGATGTAGGTCTAGCTGCTCAGCATATTTACAACGTAAACTCCCGCGCCTGGAAAGCGAGCCGCCCCGCAAACACCGCGGACAGCGGAGTTCGAAGAGCGTCCAGTTGGAGAACAAAGGGAAGCAGAATGAAGAACAAGTTTGGAGCCTGGGTTTCGCAAACCAGAAAACTCCTGACCCGGGACCTTCAGCTTCTCAGGCCCCAATTCGTTCCCCCAGCAAATAGAAACCTATAACAGGAAATGTCTTCCAATCCGACGGTTACAAACACTTGCAAACCCCAAAGTTTCGAAAGTTTGAAATGCCACGATCTTTTGACCACCTTCAAGAGGATCACGCACCTGATTCACCGGCAGGGGTAGCAAGACATACCCCATCTCATTCCCCCAGACAACAGAAGAACCTTGCACACCGGTGTTATCCTCCAACTGGCAACTTTTCGAGTCTCGGAAGTCTACACACTTGTTACAAACGACCTGAGAAAAGTCCCAAGAACGCACCTGGTCCACCGGCAGGGGCAGCATGACATACCCCATCTCGTTCCCCCACCGCGCCTGCGACCCGCCCCGCATCATCGCGTCTAACTCCTGCACCCCGGGGGACTTCCGAATGTTCACGAGCGCCAAAGCTCGCACTCGCAACCTCTTAGGCACGTACCACCGTTTTCGCGTCTCTCCCCCCCCCTCCTCGGCGGGCTTTTCGTCCCCCTGTTTCGAGGGGCTGTAACTGCTGCTCGGAAGCTCTCCGTCAGGCTCCCCCGAATCGGTGGGAAGGGCTTCCGAGGGAAGGCGCGAGGCGAGGCGGTCGGAGAGGGCCTGTGCGCGGGCGGCGAGGCCGTCGACGTCAGCGGTGACGTCAGCCGGGTCGTCGTTGGTCTCTCGCGCCTTGAAATACCTGTGGGGAGGAGTCTCTTGAGAATGTCGCTAGGAGAAATGAAGCAAAGCCATCGTATATTCCGCTTTCTGGCGCTCTGCTCAGTTAAAAGAAACCGCATCAGAAACCGAACGACATGATTAATGAGTGGTTTGTGAGAAACCGTCAGTACGTACAGCCAGCAGTGGGCAAAGGGCTCGTCAAACCCGTTATGCCCCTGCGAAGTTAGCACTGCCCCAGGTCTCAAATTGCTGTTACTGCTGGAATATGGGGCTGTCAAGTAGTCAGTGTATCGGAGAGGAAAGGGGGCAGCTCCGAAAAGCATAAGCCGGCCTTTGCACTATTGATTTGTCTCGTTTTGCTAGTGTTTGCAAAAACCCTCCGGATCCTCCTACTCTTAATAGCTTGCGTACAAAACGACCTTTTTGAGGAGAGTGCCAGGAATCGGGCAGAGGGGCTCAGTCTTTAGCGTATAAAACAATATCCTCTTCCTCGAGACAGTCTTTCCCAACGTTTATATCGGTCGCACGCCCCCTCAATCCTCACCTGTTGAGCCCCCCCCCTAGGCACGCCACCAACACATCATTTGCGGTTGCGCCCCCCCCCACAGCCCGCGCCACCGCCTTCACGTCCGCCAACGCCACTTCGCAACTGCTCGCGAGCACCTTCTCGCAGTGCTGCATCCCGTCTCTCGCTTTCACGGGGGTCTCCGAGTCGCGCACTACGGCCGTCATCGCCACGAACCGCCAGATGAGCACAAGCGAGTTCCAGAAGATAATTAGAAACCTCAGCAGTGCCCGGAGCAGTCTCATCACGAGGGGGGCGTCGCTCTTCTGCGCAGCGGGCCGGGGGTTGGCCCCCGGGATCGAGGGGAGCGCCCGCGCATCCCCGGACTGGCGTGTGGCGGCAATCAGGAGCGCGATAAGTGATGTGCCGTCGCCCAGGCTATGGTGGATCCTGAGAACTAGGCTGGCGGGACGGCGCGCTCCGGGGGGGTGCGTTAGCAGGTGCGCTTGCCAAAGAGGGTAGCGGGGGTCGAGGGGGTGCGTCGTGGCCAGCTTTGCGGTGTAGTGCTCTGCGGGGTCGACGGAGGGGTCAGCGAGGCCGACCTCCGAGGGGGCTTCGAAGACGTGGCGAGAGAGGTCCACTTCCACGGGGCACCACTCGGGGGCGCGGAAGCGGCCGCCCGGCTTCTGCATTCGCAGAGGACGGGACTGTTATGAAGGAACTTTGTAGCACCCAGGCTAGCCGCAGTCGTGCTGCGATTCCTAGGAAGGGGGGAGACATGTGAGCTACCAAAGAAGTGTCAAATAAAACGTTATGGCGGTTCTGCAGTTAGAGGGGGGAAGGAAGGCGAAGAAAAGCTTTCCTACCAATGACATGATGACAGGTCAGCTGCTTAACTTCATTCGAGATGGAGTAAAAAGAAGCGGGGAACACTTGATATATGTAGCCATGGAGGGAGCGCCTAACTTTCAGTTTGTTCTGGTGGGACTCTGTCAACCTGATCTCGCTTTTGTAAGGGCACTTCCACACAATTGACCATGTGCTTAATGACGTAGACGTCGCTTGATTGCCAGAGCCTATCCAACGCAATTGCAGCCAACTTTTTCACCTCATTGCTCCTCGCCAGCCTCGTCAATCTAAACCTTGATTTCTGCAGGGTATCGATTGGGACCCTGTACCTGGGACTTCAAGGTATGACATCTGTCCTGAATTGAAGCACCAACCCTTGAGCACTCACCATGATACTGTGGAAGCGCCTGTGCTTCACCAGCGTCCCCCGCAAAAACTCCTGCATGTGCTGCAACCCCGGTTTCTCCGCCAGTCCCACAACGCACAGAATCACAACATTCATGTCCGGCTGCGAGAAGGCTTGCCCGACAGGCGTCACAGGGCTCGTAGGCTCGTCATCAGCAGGCGTAAACTTCACTGCAGGGCCAGGCTCTGTACGATTCTCGCCGGTCTTCAGCGGCCTCAGCCTCAGAGAAGCGGCCTTGGCCAGCTGTTTAATCCCATCGACCTCGCGCGAATGACTCTGAGTGGGTTCCTCCATTCCACCTGCGTCAATTCTCTGCCTCAAGCCTGGAAACGTCTCTCCCAACAAAAGCATGCACTGGACAAGCTTTGAAAGCTGCTTTCAAAAGACCATCTGCTCCAGACATCCGGCACGCATTGCTGCACAAGTGTACCTACACTGACAGTGACAATTGGCAATTGCCCCACCTGGAGGTCCTTTTAAGTTTTAGAAGGTGCAGGTGTATTATTCGCAGGTTAAGAAGTTTTACAAGCACAACCTTATTAAGTATTGGCTGCCCACTACAGTACGTAGTAGTGTTGGCTGAGTACTAGTTCTTCAGATTGTCAAACCTAAACCCATCCTTTAACCCATCCCTAAAACGGTTCAACTTCTTTCACATGGAACGATGCTGTACATAGTTAAGAATCAAACTTCAAAGAGAACAGAAGGAAAGTTGGGGAGGGAAAATGCAGCATTGCACCTGTAACGCCCTGTACTGAAGGGGCAGGCTAGGTACTCAAGGTGCAAGCCGTCCATTCCAATGGCGTTAGCGCGTGCACACATACGCGTCCACTCCCAAACCGCCAGATGTGTGACCACCTTCCAGAGGCAGCGGCAGCATCTGCTCCAAGAACCACTCCATACTTTGAGCAGCAGAGACCTGCGTGTGCTGACAAGTGGCAGCTCGCCATTCGTTGGCATGGCCCAAAGGCCCCAGCTACTGAAAAAATGCTTGGAAGCCCAGCCTGTCTTTCAGAAGAGATGTCGAGCGATGGCGACGAGCGCCTCGAATGCTGACGTCACCACCGGATCCATCAAGCAACTACAGGGAGACCTGCGCTCGGGCGCCAGATCAGCAGTGGAAGTGGCCAAGGAGTATCTGGAGCGGGTGGCAAAAACGGAGCCGTCCGTCAGAAGTTTCCTCCATGTTGCGGAGGAGTCTGCTTTGGAGCAGGCGGCCGCAATTGATAGAGCGATTGAGGGTGGGAAGGCACTGGGGCCGCTAGCAGGGGTCCCCATCGGTGTCAAGGTCAGCGTCTCGCTTAAGGAAGTTGGATCTTGGTCAAAACCTCTGGATCGGTGCTACCAGTTTGTCAAAAGCTTAATGGTTTCAATCCACGATGCAAGTGGTGGTATGGTTCAGAATGCCAAAATTAGGCAACAACAGACCAGTCCAGTAATCTTACAGGAGTACTCTCAACAGGCATCCTGAAGGTGGCCAGACCGGGCCAGATCATTGATGAGAGAGAATGTACACTTGTTGCAGCTTCTACTTCACTTGCCTTTCCAGGACTTCTTACAATCTTGCAGGAAAAATCTTCTTGCTTGCCACCACTACCACCAAGAAGGCACGATGCAGGCCCTGCAGCCGGTCAAGTTTTGTTGCTTGGTCAGCTTTCTTTTTCCCCCCAAACAAAGCTCTGATTGACCGAGTCTCTATATTCACGCACTCAGACATTGGTCTGAATGCAACCTCGTCCTCCAAAGCGAAAGTACAGTATGCTTCAATCAGACATCAGGAAGGATAACTTGTGCATAGTTATGTACTTCTATCAACCTAGTATCTCCTGATTTGTAGCACCCCCTTTCCAGGACAACATCTGCACAAAGGGCCTCCCCAGCACAGGGGGCTCCCGCATCCTGGAAAACTTTACCCCCCCCTACGATGCCACCGCTATCGCTCGGCTCAAGGCCGCGGGAGCCGTCATTATCGGTAAGATGAACTGCGACGAGTTTGGCATGGGCAGCAGTACTGAGAATTCGGGTTACCACATAACTGCCAACCCCTGGGACTTAACCCGTGTTCCCGGGGGGTCTTCCGGGGGTTCGGCGGCGGGCGTAGCGGCGGGACAGGTGATGGCATCGCTGGGGAGCGACACGGGGGGGAGCATCCGGCAGCCAGCGAGCTTCTGCGGGGTGAGATGTCTAGCCTGCTGAATTCTACCTGTCAGGATGAGCTGGCGGCCTAGGTTAAGTCTAAAAGCAAGGTCTTCAAAGTGCAAAAGTGCATGACGAAATGATTTCGGTAGTGAGCACGTTCCACAATGTCAGACGCGCATCTCCTGACGCATCCCATTTTTTAATCGGCTCAAGTTCACTCTCGATCAAGCCTTGTGTAAGGAGGTCGTTTGAAAGACCACGTGCAGATACCCAAACTCTACCTATTGTTTCACCAAGCACGAAAATCAGTCGTGCAGAATCGGAGTCTTCTTGACTTAGTGCCCCTGCTCTTGACACCGGCATTTGCCTCCCAGGTTGTCGGTCTGAAGCCCACATACGGGCTGGTGTCACGATATGGGCTGATGGCTTATGCGTCCTCCCTCGACTGCATCGGGCCGCTTGCGAACAGTGTTGAGGATGCAGCCATCGTTTTGGGGGCCATGGCGGGGCATGATGAGGCGGATTCGACCAGCGAAAAACAGGTTGGTCAGCTGCTTGCCGGCTCTGTCTAACTTAACCCTGGGCGAGTCAGAGCTTTTGCTCGTTGCCAGTGTATGTGTGGTATCAGGACCTTGCAAAGACATTTCTACGAATTTTACGAAGCCTGAGTACGTGTGGTACGTTCTATTGCTATCTAGAAGGAGCCGTTTCGTTTTCGAGAAGAAAGACCCCGTCCCAAATGGCGTACGACCAGCCTCGAATGAGAGTCCGTTTGCAGCCACAGTGTGCTTTTGAATCGAGTGGAAGCCTTCGAGTTCGAGCATCTTTACCGCGACTTCTCGATTTCGAACTTTCAATGCGGCTTGTGTTCCTCAGCAGTCTTTTCCAGAAACGGACGCCAAGTCTTGTACGTTTACAGATTCATCTGCTGCGTCCATAAATGACAAGAACGCCCCACTTCCTCATAGGCACACTCTCTGCAGACTGCGACTGGTCTTTCATTTTTGCTTTTCTGGTCTCCACGAAGGCTCCTTCTCGAGTTGCCAAGACTTGCGTCAGACGTGCGCTACCCCAAAAATAATACTTCCAATCCACCTTTCTAGGAAGAGAAGTCCAAATACTTCATTTCTTTGATACACCAAGGCGCCATACGACCCTCCTCGGCCCAGCTCCCGAATGCTTCCCCTCTAGATCATCCCAACCTTTTTGACATCCTGACTTTCTCCCACTTGGCAGGAGGTATTGACTTATTTCTTGAATATATATGGCGCCTTCGACATTTCTATGCGCCATTCCTATGCCCAGGTGCCGCAATGTTCCACTTATGCAGGAAGTGCCTGACTACACCGCCAATTTCCGCCCGGCCAGAAGCTTGATAGCCGGCCCCGCACTGGTGTGCGCCGAGGACTTATTCCTCAGGCAGTGCGTAAAACCCTCCACATTTCGATTCCCAACTTTTCTCATCCTCATCTCGCCAATCTCTTCGAAATTTGCAGAAAGTTCCCGACTACACCGCCAATCTCCGCCCGGCCAGCGAGCTCGACAGCCGGCCCCTCGCAGGTGTGCGCTTGGGGCTCATCTCGGAAACGATGGGGGAGGGGGTGGATCCGGGAGTGGTTACCGCAATCCAAGCTGCCGCGGCGCACTACGAGCAACTCGGGGCCGTTGTTGAGGAGGTGGGTCTCGCGTGCCTCTTTCTGAAATACAGTGGCCAAGAACAAGGACTGCAGAAATTGCTACAACCCTTGCCCTCACAAACAGAGATCAAGCTTACAGCAATGATCTCTGCTTCATCAATATCGTTCGGGGAACCTCCAGAGAAAAAGCCCTTTCTGTTTCAGAATGCACTGACGTCGTCGCGTTGTTGACTGTGCCAGGTGTTGCTTCCTTTTTCCGGCAGGGGCTTTCCTGGATGCTGACGTCAGCAACGCTTTTCCACTGTGCCAGGTGTCGCTCCCGTCTTTCCGGCAAGGGTTGCCCGCCTATTACGTGCTGGCACCGTCGGAGGCCTCGTCGAACCTCTCACGATACGACGGAGTCAGGTGAGATCAGCTCAGTACCTCACAACGCACTGAGCGAACGTTCTCACCTGTTCCTCACAGCTCCCTGCTTGAAGACGTGTTGCCCCCTAGCTTTTCTGCTGAAGCGCTTCAGATGAACAGGGGATGGGGTTACGGTGTGCAGAGAACGCACACAGGATGAGGATCTCTTGACGCCGTTCGTGAAACGCAACGCCTCGCCGAGGCCCGAGCTTGGGAGCCAGTGGCTTCGAAAGCTTGGGCTGAGAGTACCGCAGATGCATCCAATGTGTCGCCTGGATCCACCCAATTTTGTGCCCTCGTCGCTTTGTCCAACTGTCCAGAGACCTGTGGAACTTCGCAGTTGGTGCACTTTCGCGTCACATGATGCGAGCTGGTCTTGGGGTTCGCTAATGCATCTGTTAAAGCAGGTTGCAGAAATGTACGCCGAAATTGCAGCATCTCACACGAGAGCCTGACCTCTGAATCTGGTGATGGACACGTGGTCTTCGGCGGCAGGTACGGTCTGCGAGTGGAGGGCGACGAGCTGACGTCAATGTACGGAAAGACGCGCGACCAGGGGTTCGGCGCGGAGGTCAAGCGGCGGATCCTGATGGGCACGTACGCGCTCTCGGCAGGGTACTACGACGCGTTCTACAAGCGAGCGCAGCAGGTGAGCCGGCGGGCGGAGCGCCTGTGACCAGAGTTTCGGCCTTTTAGCTTTTGGGGTTTTGCAGTCCTGAGGGAAGTTATTTTTTTGGCAGCCCTCTGGAGGGACCCTTGTTTTCCCAGGATTAGTACATATGGAGAACGGGACCTGCCGGTTCTTGACGTCTCCCCACATCGGGCGTTTCATGCCCAATTCAAGAGAGCCCAGATCGTCCAAGCTAAGCACGCTTGTAACAGTGCGTGCCTGATGAGCCACTCGGTTCTCGTGCTCTCTTTTATCCGGTTCTGAGAGATCGATCGGGAGGTCCACTCCGGCTCTGGTGAAAGTGCCCGCTCGGGGTTGACTTTCTGAATTGGTGCGTCGAGGAACTTTGTTGTAGAACGTGGTACGTCGTAGATCGGGGACCAAAGTGGGAGGAGAAGGCTCCGTGACCGGCAATTTGGAATTCTGTGTAGCCGCGTTTTTGGACAAAACTTTAGGATGAATGTCAGGATTCGACTGAGTCAAAGTTCGTCTTGGCGGCAGGTTCGACTGCAGTACAGCTGTTTGCGTCCAAATTGCCACCTTTACCTCCAGTCGGAAACCTTTGACACGATCTTAGACCGTCCGATCAGCAGAAGCTGGCCATCCGGACTGCCTAAGATCGTAACCGGCGAACCTCGCAGCTTTCGAGGGTGCAGATTTTCATGCAAACAGCTGTCCCTGAAGTACCCGGTTCTGCGGTCAGGCTCAGCCCGGCACGGCCCCTAAAGTGGGTCTCTGCTCTTTCACCTTCATCATAGACGGCTTTGGCCAGAGTAGGGGTTCGACTTTGACTGTTGATTGCAGGGAAGATTACAAGGCGGGCGTTCGGGAGTCCTCTGCGAAGCCCGCGTTCCCGGACGCGCGAGTTCAGCACAGAAGAGTACGTCGGCAAACAAACCGGCAGAAAGACGATATGTGTCCTCGCCTCAGAAGCTTTTGCGCTGCCCCGCAGGTCCGAACGCTGATACAGAGAGACTTCCAGTCCGTCCTGTCAAAGTACGATGCGCTGCTGTCACCCACGGTGCCCACAACTGCCTACCAAATAGGTGAGCCATCACATATTGGGGCCTTGCTCTCGCGGCGGCCTCGCTTCGCGAGGTTTTCTCGATTATGGCCGCCTCGCCCAAGACTCGATCCAGGCTGTTCTTGGAATCGAGGCCGTCCGATGCTTTAGAGTGGGCAGTCTAACGGCACAGATTTGCAACTGGTGGAGGTCGAAGTCGTGTCGAGTGGCCCACTTTCACAAAACCTGCAGAGAAAGGAAGTTGCAGCTCCTGCAACGTGTCAGGCTTTCGGTGTCCTCTTTTGGGGCATGTATCACTGATGCGGCCGACTCGGCACGACTTGACGGGAAGCTTGCTTTGTTCAAATCCGGTCAAGTTGACACCGTCCAGTCTGGACTCTGCGTGAAATTCAAGCGGATGTGAGATACCTTCACACAGAGACACGTCTTTAGCAGTCGGTCGGAAGCTGCCTTGGCGACCCGTCGACCGCAATCAGAGTTTGATAGTCGCCTTGCCATGCAGGAGAGAAAACGGAGGACCCGCTTTCTATGTACGTGGGGGACATCATGACCGTGAGTTGATTGACCCCCCTTTCGAGGAGTGTTTGCACTGTGAAACGTGTATGTACAATTTCTCCACAGCATAGGTGCCGATACCGTCGATTTGACTGGGCGTCCTGAAACACTCCAAATGAAGGCGGTTTTCACCGCGCTCCGTTTCAGTGCCAACTACAGTCTCCAAGGCTAACTCCACCTTAACCCGCGATTGACGTTATCATCGGGTAAAGTTCGAGCAGACCTCTTGGTACTTGAGAACCGTTGCAAAGAAAAGAGGCAGAACACAGTCGATTCTCGGACGGAGTCGATAACATTGACCATACTAAGTTTATGTAGTCGGCTTCAGCCCTTAGGAACTGCGAGTCACTCTGAGGGTGCGCTCGCAGACTCTCCCTGACTCTTCTGACCTGTCGCAAACGTACTTACTTGGGTCGCTGTCACTCGTTTCATCACCCGGACAGTTTTCGGACGGGTTTGAAAAACTTCTGAACGTCTGGAACCTTCCGACCGCTGGGATCCCAGAGCCTGCTCGCGGCCAGGGTACAGGTCCCCCAAAACCTATGATATTGTTTCTCTATTTGAGCTGATCCGCTTGTCACGTCTAAGTCAGCTTTCTGCAGCACCAATCCGATAGGCCCTGCCGTGCGCCCCTTACCCGCCCCGGTTACGCGTGCAGGTTAACGTTAACCTGGCAGGGCTGCCAGCGCTCGTCGTCCCGTGCGGTCTAGACCAGGGTTTGCCGGTCGGTTTGCAGCTCGTGGGCCCCGCGTTTGGAGAGGTCAGTCCTCGCTTGGCTTTACTCGCTTGCATTTTAAGGTCGGGCCTCTACACTTCTCTTGCTGCTGCCCAATCGTTCTGGTCTCGCCTTGATCATCGAAACCAAGGCACTGTCAGAAACAGCGTTAAGCGTCTTTACTATGTTCGCTGCGCAGACGACTTTGTTTTAGGGCTTATAGGTCATCCTTCAGAAGTCATTGCGATCAAAGATGGGACTACTTGTTGGCTCAAGACAAACCTACAGATGTCGTCTAGATCAGTCCAGCTTCGCTGCTGTGCAAAAGGCGGAGTCGCACGGGAGAGCTCACCACAGGCACCTAGCAGTCCTATCCAGAGACCGAGTTTGTTGGTTAACAACTCAAGCAACCAGGATCTTCAGAGAAGCAAAATCGAAGCTTTGGCTCCTTGAACGGCCAAGCTTCGTCAGGGTACTGACTGTTTGCACCAGCAAAAGGTCGTCAAATCTCGGTATGCTGCTCCAAGCTGCTCATTCTGCGCCCTGAGTACCTTCAAACCCTAAAACCCGAAAACCCTAAAACCCGAAAACCTGAAAAATCTAAAAACCGCAGTGACCTGTGTCACAGTCTCATGCGCCACAAGAGGAGCTCTATTTTCACATCCACCTTTATGTCTTTGATCCCGGGATCCCTCACCCTTCGGCAACCAGAGACAGCGCAAAGCCCCGTATTGTTTGCCAATGTAAAGGCAAACATAGTCGTTCGATGCACGAAGCTCTGAGGACTCGATCTTTCAGAAGTGCGCCTTCCGGCGCGCCGCCCTCTTTGACTCAACGGTCACACTCCTCTCCTCTTTGCAGGCCGAGTTGTTGCGCTTGGGGCACGTGTTTGAGCAGACCAACTCTACCTGGCGGAATGCCGATCTCCCAGAGCTGGTTGTAGCTCGATGATGACAGAGCGCGTGAGGACATCCCAAAGAGCTCCTCAAGTCCAATTTAAAGAATCGCACCGTATGCTGGAATATAATTATCGAAGCAATACACGGATTCGCAGTAAACGTATGTGCGAATCTGGCCGGCCGATGCAAAGGGGCGAGGATGGGAGCCGTTTGCCAAACATGGCGCGAGTGAACGTCCTTTATACAAGCGTGCCAGGCCTCTGGAATGCGTTCGTTGTTGAATCTCGAGGGCCAGTAATGCAACCCGGCGGCTTGGCTGCGTAAGGGTCAAATGTCAGCTAGCATCATTGGGCTCGGAAATCATATGTGAATACAGAAACTGGAAACGCGTTGGCACTCACTGTATGTCGGATCAATCATGTTACCTGGTGCATGATGCGTAGGTATACAAGTAGCCACACGAGTATGTACATGTCCTGATTGAAACAGGCTGGCAGGTCGATATCTTGTCTAGCTGGCTATATAGAGGCTGCCAGGTGAATGCCGCGTCTCTAGGTATTCGTTTTCTCCGTATAGCCAAATAGGATCGACGGTCGTCACGTAGCCTTCTCATGTGGCATACATGTATGAGTACTTGATGATCGAACGGCCATATGCATCACAGACTACACTGCACGATACTACATTCGAAAAAACACTAGTGTTTCTTGTTGTCATCTCGCTTTTTGGGCAAGCTTGGTCTACTTAATAATATACTCTAATTTTACATATATCTGCACTTTCGATGCTGGCCATCCTACAAACGTCATGTTGATTTTGTGCGTTAATTTGGCCGCTTCTTTGATGGACTCTGACGATGCGTGCTCCAGTTGACTCTATTGACCGGAGCATTGAACGTCTGCGAAGATATCATTACACAAAGGCGGACTCCCAAACTATAGATTGGAAGCTTTTCAAGCTAACTTGTGGTCGCTGATTGATCTGGTATGCAAGCTGACGGTACAGTCGAATGTTTTGTCGGACTATTTTCGGCTACAAGCATGTCGACCAATAGACGTGTAAGCCATGCAGGTACATGCAAACCTGTGCCACCCCCGTACATGAACTCCGTTTTAGAAAGGTAGCCCTTAATCTTGAATTGCATATTCATCTCTCAATGTAGCGCCGGCCAGAAACAATCAGCCGCCTTTTGCAGAGGACGATTTACATATGCGAATGAATGTTATCAGTTTCACATAAGTTAGTAGGTTGTTTACTCAGCGTTGTCGGACATACCCACGCTGACTAGGCCAACGAGGAACGCTATCCTAATTTAGCGGAAACTTCAGTTCATCTGGATTTCGGCGAGTTATATCATCTGGACCCAACTGCTTGGAAGTCATCAGTTCCAACCTAGACCAGTGAAAAGTTCTGTTGCGACACGCACGGATCTACGTTTGTGCAAGTTCTACTGTCTTCGTGAACAGAATCACGAGCGTTCACCAATTGCTCTGCAATGCTTTCGTAGGTTACCACCGTTCCAAGTTACGACTTTTTCCACTGCTGGGCTGCTCTAACCAAACCCTTCCAGTCACTCCCACTAGACGCCAATAAATACCGACAGTGCGTAACAGTCTGTCCGTCTCACGCCCTAGCGGCACAGCAGCGACCCCGTCTCCTGGCTGCACTGCGGGCTGACCGTGACGTACTCGTCGACGGCCGGTGACGTCAGCATCTTGCGCGAGGCCTTGGCGCCGTCCTCGAGGATGTTGACATTGCGCACGGTGACGCCGGTCGCCAGGTCGAACTGGTTGAACGTGCTGTCGGCTGACGTCAGCGACGACACGCGGTAGTCGGACGTGACGCCCTCCACCAGGAACTCGTGGCCGGTCGCGTTGGTCGTGACGGCGTTCCGGCGCTCGATGGCGTCCGGGCGGAACATCTGGCCCTGCAGCGGAACGGAGCGAGGGGGGAGGTCAGTGACCTTCCAAGTTAGGAGTGGGATTGCGGGTTGACAGTCGAAGCACGAGGAGATACGTTCATCCTTACGGAATTGACGACTTGGGTTCTGTAAGGAGTCGGCGCCCCTACTGATGGTTGAGTGAAGGAACTCGAATCGAAGTACGAGATGCGCATCCAGATTTTGGAATTGAGGTGAAAGGACGAGAGCCGCACAGTACAGAGTTGAAAGGAGATTTAAGATCAAAGCTTCGTTCTACGACGTGCATACCGCCAATCTCGATCAACTCGCACAAATGCTTCGCCAGGTTTCTTCATTCAGTGCGCTTAATCGACGAAGAGGCTTTGGCGACGCTCTTCCAAAACGGACCTAAAGCTTGCTCCTGAGATTAGACTTCCAAGTCGAAGTGAAGGCAACGAACAAAAGACTCCCGAATCGACAGCAATTACCCGCGTGGCTAAACTCGAGGCGTGAAAAACGGCCACGTGGCTTACCAGGACACCGTGAGCGTGGCGGGAGATGGTGAGGTGGTCCATGTCCATGTCGAGGTACTTGCCAAGAGGGTCCAACTAGAGAGAGCGAGAGAAAGAGAAGAGCGTCAGAAAGAGCAGATGTGAAGCTTCAAGTGAAGGGATTCCACCAGAGAGCGCGAGGAAAATGAGAGAGTGTCAGACCGAGGCGTCTAGACAGCTGCCGAAATGCGTGCAGAGAAGGGTCATAGCGGATGGAGACAGATGAACGGTGGATCATCAGTGCAAATCGAAACGAGCAAGTTTCGGATCGCACTCTTTCAGAGGGACACACGTAATAAGATTGCGAACCGAGTGCTTCTGTTCATTCGAGTCAAGTTGAAACACACAAAAATTTGGAGAGGAGGACAAAGACAATCCCCGCGCAAAGCCGCCTTAGGGAGCATAAGCGAGAAGCGAGCCAAGTCTTGGAGCCACAATAATGTCCTGGACTTTTCAAAGACTTGAAAGGCAGAGAATGGCAGAGTCGTGGAGCCAGGAACTTCTGACAAAAGTTTACAAAAAAACTGGGAGGCAGCGGCGCACCTGGATGCGGCTCTCGATGCGGGGGCTGAACGTGGCCTCAAAGTGGCCGTCGATCTTGATGCGGGCGTGCGCGCGCATGTGGGGCTCGCGTGTGATGGTCGCCTGGCCGTCGGGGGACGTCCACGTGTACTCGGCGGTGCCCTGGACGGTTAAGGAGTGGGGTTAAGGAGCTGATGAGAAGGGTTAAGGGCACTCATTGGTGCTTTACTTGATGCTTTAAGAGCGAAATGGTATTTAACTTGCTGCGGAGCTAGGAAGGTGAAATCAGCAGGATTTGGTCCGAAAACCCACTTTTGCTGGAGTATCTACAAGACGCTACTTCTCAGAGCTTTCTTATTATTAAGACCTTTCTTGGCCCTTTGAACAAGGACTTGACAGAGTGTTTTGTGTGAAGCAGGGCAATACGAGCGGGAGTCGCAGTTCTGAGCAAGCGACAAGCTTTCAGTGTTGCAACCGAACAGCATAGACAGGTATCTGAAGGCTCTCTCAGACACAAAGGACAGCTGATGCAACCAAAGTCACCGTGACCTGATGCAACCAAAGTCACCGTGACCTGAAAAATTCCGAGTCGGCGCCCAAATAAGCTGCTCTTGCAGGAGACATAAGGTATAGCAGGACGTGAGCAACATCGTTTTTTTTCCTGCGGGACCGAGCTGTCACCCCAGCTCGACTCGAGTCCGTTGAGGGGGTAACAAACGGGCGAAACCTGCGTTCAGAAGCTTGCTATCCAAATTTAAAAAACACCTGACTACCTCCAACCGACAAGCCACTTTTACCCCAGATGCAAATGCGAAGACAAAAAGAAGAAGAAGCGCATCTTACCGAGCCGACTGGAATGTCTTCCCCGTCAAAGGTGAAGAAGAAGACGTCAGCGGCCTCGAACTCCTTCTCCTGGTCGATGCCGATGCTCACAAAGTGGGTCACGCCAGCCTCGTCTTTGTAACCCATGGCCATCTCCTGCAAAAAGAAAGGGTTAAGAAAGGGGTTAGCGCTGACACGTTGGTCTCGTATATAGTATCCATCAATGTCCCTTGGGCACACCGAAGGATAACATCTGCAGCGTGTAATTGTAGTGTGGAGAGAATCCAACAAAGACCCCGGCGCAATAACCCCTGATCCGTAAACAGCATGTTGGCAAGCGATATGCATACCTGCGTGACTTCTGAACAGATCCATCGAGCAGACCAGTACGGTCAAGCAAAAAACCTCCAAAGCCAAAACGCTTCTGCACAAGTCCTCTGTGAAGCGAGTGAACTGTACCCCCTCTGGAAAAGATAAGGCGAATCTCTTCAGGAGTGGATGAGTGCACTCACCTCAATCCAGGTGCCGTGCTCGACGTTCTCCGTGTTGGTGCGCTCACCGACAAACCGGGCGTTCATCTGCAGAGATTCCACAGAGTAGTCAGTCCCCTGCCCAGCTTAGACCCAGATCATGGGAACACAAGCAAAGGGACGGGGAATAGCGGATAAGAGACAAATCGGTTGTACTTAACCGGCCCAAAGTCGAGAGAGTATCACAAAGGCAGTGGGCATTGTGAAACTGGGTACGACTGCAATGACAAGAATCTGGAAGCAAGGTTGGAGCAGAGTCCTGTTGGGAGACATGCCAGCTGTCATGACTTGCGCTTCTCAGCTGGGATTCTGCCAAAGCTGGGGGCTGCCATACTGGTGAAAAAGGGGCTGGGTTATGGTTCCAGTATGTGTTTGACCTACTTCAAACCGCGAATCATCAAACCGTGCTTCTCCGACTGTCTACCATGTGGGTCCATCAGGTGCCCAGTAACCCCTTTGTATCAGTTCCTTTCGATTCGACAGACTTTGCTTGACAAAGAAGCAGTGGGGATAAAGCAACTCCCTGCCTTTGGAGTCACTCCAGTTCTGAGGATTCAGACAGGCATGCGAACCATAGTCTAAAGGCAGTCCCTCATCCTGACACCAACCCTGCTATTGTGTGGAGAGTAAGCCTCTCACCTGGAAGTCGGTGTCAGAGATAATGCTGAAGATCTGGTCACGCACGCCGTGCCAGTCGAAAAAGATGCCCCCCGGTGCCGCAAAGTGAGGGTCGCCGCAGACCCCTCCGGAGTACGCCTCTGCAAAGGGAACGAAGCACATGAGCCTATATTACATGGAAATATCCTGCTTGGATCGGCATGCTTTGGTATTCTGCTCAACCCGAGTCGAAATCTGGACTTAAAGAGCTTTGAGTGTGGCAGATCGCACATAGGGCTACAATGCAATTGAGAAGGGACAAGGGAATAGAAAGCTATGGGCCATTTTCGAAACTTGCTGCTTGCTCGGCTGTATCTGTGCTTGGTTATTGCCTGTAATTGTTGGCAAGCCTGAGAACACCTATGACTTGCCAGGTCTGGTAGGCATACGACAAGAGGCCCTCAGGTGCTCAGGTGAGTGGCAAAATTGGCAAGTGCGTTGCACGTTTGGAAGATGGAATTAGGTGCTTGATGCAAGCAGAAAGAAGGAGTCCAGTATGCAGATTAGGAAGTGTAAAGGACTTTGCACGGAGCGGGAAAAGAGGAGGAAGAGTGCACAAGAAAGGTGCAAGTACAGATTGCTGTTTCTGCCTGCCATGGGAACAAGCAGAAAAGGGACATCCTGAATCGAGGGGAAAACAACCTGCGTCTGTATTTGTTGCCCAGCGTTACAGGGTCTATGATTAGTATAAGCCTCAGCTTTCGGAAGGGCTAGCACACCACTTTCCCAAACTTAGCTCGACACAGTTCACCACTGTTCAGCGGACCTGCCTATTTCAGAGCCTTTCAGGTTTGTTAAGGTAGCAATGCAGCCTTTTTTGAAGCTGGATGTGCTGTGTCTCAACAAGGTGGCTGATCCGCTTGGACACTCTGAAAGACCACGCCAAGCTGGTAAGCCACGAGTCACCAAAAAGAGTTTCCAGCCCCCCTACCGCTGCACCTCTGCCACCAGTGGCTTCATGTGAGCATGAGTGCCGATCCATATTTCAGCAGAAGATGGAATAACTGAAAGTGAATCTTCAATGACCACAAACAAGACCAGAGTGAGAATACAGGCCTCAACAACGAAGGAACTCGAAAGCTTTTCTGCTCACTGGGGTTGTCGCAGTTGCTATTGAGGAACCAGAGATCATTTTCGCACTCGAGCTTGATGCTGCCGCCAAGGTCGGTGCACTTCGGGCACGAGTCGTCTTCGGACCCGCATGTGTTCCCGCTCCCAACGCTTTTGTAGCAGCCCACGTTGATGTTGGCGCAGCTTGTTATGCCCGTCAGTGTCAGTGACCCAATGGCCCCTGTGCACTTGCGGGTGGTGACCCCGGCGCAAGGCGCGATGTATCCAATGTAGGTGGCGGTCGCCACATGGGCGGTCAGGGCAAGCACCAGGAGGAGGGCTGACAGCTGGCGGGACGCCATGGGGACAGCTGGCAAGCGCAGGCGACACCTGTTGAGCTGGAAAGAGCAGACCGTGCTGTCGGCTGCCGCTTGCGTGTGGTGGCGATGAGCAAGGGAAAGGAGAGCGGTAAGTAATGAGGGAGGTGGGGGGAAATATGTTCTTTTCAACACTCAGCTTGTGCGAATGAAGTGATCGTGACAATGCATTCGAGCTTTTCAACAGGAGCGCGCCGGCTTACTCGATTGGAGCTGCACTACACCGATTGAAGGCCCACAGTCGCCGCGATCCAGTGCAGCTACGTTACGTGCTAGTGCTGGTAGTTAGCCATGATCGACACGCCCAGAGAAAAGCGACATCTCTACCCATGCGCAGCCCCATACACATAATGCAGCCTATGGAAAGTTAGCTGGACAGGTGCTATCCGAACGTTCGCCATGGGGCTTGCAACCCTTTCTCCTCCCCCGGATCCCACGGCCCCGGCAGGACCGGGCCAGACTGCAGCTCGGGCCGAATCGGTCTAATTTAAACTTATTTTAATTCAATCGGTCAACCACCTTGGGAAGGAAGGGGTTAGTAAGTTGGTCTCCGTGTCAGGTGGGTACGAGGCAGGTTTCAAATTCCGGGTTTAGGGGTTTGTGACCTAACTTTGCGCTTCCGCTGCTTACAAAAAATATATAACCAGTATTTCGATATTCTCGAGCTTTTGCAAAGGGGGCGCGGCGAGTGCCGACATTTCATCGACATCATAGTCGGAAGGCCCCAGCAAATTCTTTTTTGATTTCCGCAGCGGCCGGGATGGCGACCAACAGACTCGGGAATTGGTACCTAAGGTAGTTGATGGCTGAGCAGACTGATGATCGGTCGCCACAAAGAATCCGTACAAGTATCTACCACCGAGATTCACGGCGCGGGGCGTTCCTTGCTTGCCGCGTGCGTCCTTGTGACTCCTGCGGCGCCGGGCCTGGGCGCCAGGCAAACTTACTTTTCCCATGCACTGGAAGTTGGACGTCCCGTTTGTCCCATATACTTTAACATGACGTATGTATGATGTGACATGGCACCAATTTGTATTTCTTACTGCAAGTAATTAACGAGTGTAACTGTTTGTTTGATGCATATGTTTACAAAATGCTTACAATTGGTTAACATATGCTTTCACGCTGTTGAATGGCTGTTTATTACTCGATCGCTTTGAGCAATATGGAGAGTGCCAACTAGGGGAGTCAATATATGACACTTACTGTATTCATCATTTGTACCTTCCAATGACTGTATAAATACTGTATTAGAATTGTCACCTGCCGTCACCTCTGATGTGCTAAATGCCTCATGGCAGCGACTTGATCAATATCCCCAGCACTTGAGCGACTGGCTCGTGGGACTCAAGCTCGACACAGAATCTGTTGGTAGAGATTTATCTTTCATGCAAACCAAATTTCCAAAGCCTTTCTGTAAGCCACGCCTGACTCTACACAACCATTCATTCTAATAATCTGATAAACTGCAGCTGCGGAGCATCAATCTTCATTGGACGCATGCTGTAGGTTATTAAGCAGTATGTGGACAGGTTCGGCCAAGCTTGATTAGAGACAAGGGGCCGGGGGGCGAGTCGAATTCAAGTCCTCCTGATCATACTGTATCTAGGATCACTAGACCGTACGTAGCAGCTTCTCCCTGTCTATCTTGAGCGATGTAAGGATTGCCGATGTAGCTCACGCGGTATGTTCAGACTTTCTGGCAACTTTTAAACCAATGCACTAGTCATACCCTGACAAATGAGGAGACGAAGACTCAGAGTACTGTTTGCCAATGCTGGCCTGCGGGCTAGCTACATAGCCGTGTACTGCAATGTTTAGTAAAGGGACCGCCTTTGATTTGTCATGAGATAGTAATAGTGATGGGAACCGATCCTAGGCTCTACAGAGACGGAGATTCGATTCCGTTTGCCGGTACTGGCAGCGGGCTAGCTAGCCATCTGCAATGGTTAGCAAGGGGACAGCCTTTATCAGGAGATAGTAAGAGTGATGGGACCTCGATCCTAGGCTCTACAATTAGTTGTGAGTGTTTCTATTGTGTTGTGCTCTCTGTTCTGTTGCGTGCCAATCAGGAGCAGACCAACGACCCCTTCTCCTGGTTGCACCGCGGGCTGACCGTGACGTACTCGTCAACCCCCGCCGAAGTCAGGATCTTGCGCGAAACCCGGGCGCCGCCCTCGATGATGTTGACGTTGCGCACAGTGACGCCAGCGGCCAGGTTGAACTGGTTGAACGTGCTGTCAGCTGACGTCAGCGAGGAGACGCGGTAGTCGGAGGTGGCGCCCTCCACCAGGAACTCGTGGCCGGTCATGTCGGCAGTGACGGCGTTCCGGCGCTCGACGGCGTCCGGGCGGAACATCTGGCCCTGCAGCGTAACGAAGCGAGCAGGGGGGTCAGCGGATTCCTGAAGGACGATACGCGTCGCAGGCGCGCTGGTGACGTTCAGATTCAAGTTACAGAAAGATCGATCCGGGCCCCTGACGAGGACTTGGGGGAGTGCAAGAGTTGAGGCGTTCAACGGACAGGGGAAAAGCGAGATCGAGTCCTGGACTGGTCACCAAAACCTTGATGCGAGTTGGAACTTAGAAACGAGTACATCGCGAGACAGCTAATGATTTGAAAAAACCACGCAGAACATGGCGGTGACCAAAGCTTCCCTGAGTCTAGGAAGTGCCTACAGCAAATCTCGTTTGTGAAGATGCTTCACCATCTTTCCACATTCAGGTACCAACTTAACGCTTTGACAGAGGATGTGCGGCTCGGTTGCCTGACCTGTCCTTAAGTAGATGCTCTTCTGAGACCGCCGAATCCATTGACGCCGAAAAGGGCGCACGAAGTCTTTCAAAGGCCTCCCTGGTTCGCCACATTGATACTCGCGTCATTTGGATTCAGGGCACGGAAAGCTGGCCACGTGGCTTACCAGGACGCCGTGAGCGTGGCGGGAGATGGTCAGGCTCTCCATGTCCATGTCGAGGTACTTGCCGAGGGGGTCCAACTAGAGAGAGCGAGAAACGAAGTAAGCGTCAGTACACGGAAGATTAGGGCGGCGACTCAAAGGCTCTCAGCTTATGTGATTGCGCGAAGATCGTGCGCAGATCGTACGACAGACGGCCGGGTTGAGAAACAAACAAACGGAAGGCAGCTAGGGCCGACAGAAAGGTGGAAGCCTGCTTTGGCAGATCGAGGAACGAACTGCGCTGTCGAGTAAGACCTCGGAGTATCCAGGTTGCCTGCGAAAGGAATCATTGTGATGGGTCAATTCGCTGAGAAGGGAATTCGTGTGAAAGGGCTTGAACACAAGATTCACAGAACTAGGAACTAGGAAGGCGACAAGCGATCCGTACTGTGAGCGGAGTCGTGGTTCCACGAAAACTTCCATGAAAACATTTTGCGAAATTTTGCAGATTGAGAAGGGCAGATCTAGAGGCGCACCTGGATGCGGCTCTCGACGCGGGGGTTGAACGTGGCCTCGAAGTGGCCGTCGATCTTGATGCGGGCGTGCGCGCGCATGTGCGGCTCGCGCGTGATGGTCGCCCGGCCGTCGGGGGAGGTCCACGTGTACTCGGCGGTGCCCTGCACGGTTAAGGAGAGAGTTAACGAGCCGCTGACAAGGGTTACGGAACCTTGTACGATGTTTCTTATGGTGTGCTTAAAGCAGAAGTCTTCTCGCTGATTGCTTGAACTGGACGCGATCTCGACGGAAGATCCAACGATTGCTGGTTTACGAGGACCGACTCGACCTTTGCCGGGCATGCAGTTTATAGCGGGAGCGATGTTCAGCGAATTAACAAGCTGAACAAGTCTGTCAGAAGAAAGCGTTCGAGCTTTAGAAATGGGTGCCCGAATAATGAAGCAGAAAAGGAGAGCAGTCCAGGAGGAGCGATGGCGCGAGAGTCAGAATAAGGCGGCGGAGAAAAGTGTTCGAGGCGCTGCCACAATAAACCGAAACTGGTTCCGATGAGACACTTTTATAAAACATCGTGGTGAAGGGATCTCGGAGCATGAGCTGGCAGAAATCTCTTCATTCATCAAAAGTCTGAGCTTCAAAGTCCACCAAGCTAGAGTGACTTGAGTATCACAAGAGGAGCAGACGAGCCAGTCTTCCCGGGTCGCAAAAGACTTCGCAAGCATCTCAGGAGTTGCTGGGGATACTCTACTTGCAGCGAAAGCAACGAAGGCAACGAAAGAAGAGACGAAGCTTACCGAGCCGATTGGGATGTCCTCTCCGTCGAAGGTGAAGAAGAAGACGTCGGCGGCCTCGAACTCCTTCTCCTGGTCGATGCCGATGCTCACAAAGTGGGTCGCGCCAGACTCGTCGTTATAACCCATGGCCATCTCCTGCAAAAATTGGGGGTTAAGAAGGGGTTTATCTGCTGGCACATCCATGGCCTGCGGATTCCTGGCATACTTTGAAACATATTGTTTGCAGGGTGCCGGCAATTTGAAAGGGATGTAATGCATCTCTGATCTAGATGTCGAGCAGAACTGGTTCAGGACAGAAGCTACTTGCCAGGGAACAGTCTATTACATACAAATTAAGATGCTCTTAAACTTGCTCTCAAAGTCGCAAGCGTGAGGGGCGGGCCAGCCAGACTTGCAGATCAAAGGCCTCGGAACAGGAGTACGTGAATTTACCTCGATCCAGGTGCCATGCTCAATGTCCTCCGTGTTGGTGCGCTCACCGACAAAGCGAGCATTCAGCTGCAGAATGATAAAGCCGTTAGTCCCCGTTTCGGAGCTGGACCATCTTCCCGATCGATCGGTGATCAGTCCTGCTGGGCAAGAGCCAGCTGTCAGCTTGTCCTGACCGTTTTATACTCAGACTTTTACGGAAGCTGGGGGCTGTCAAACTGCGGGGGATTTCCTCAAAGCTCTTCACAACCTGGATGGATCTTGCTAGGATTCAGCATTGAGTCCCCGTTCATTCGAATGCACTGAAAGCTCGGCCTTACATAGATGGCTGTTTTCTAATGAGGACTCCATTTCCGAAAGAAGCAGACGCAACAGATACAACACCTCACTGCCTATTGGGGCCTGAGAAAAAGCCAACCATGGAATAAAGTTCAACAGTGCATCCTTCTTAGCTGACACCATCCCTGCTGCCAAAGGTGTGCCTAGCCTCTCACCTGGAAGTCAGTGTCAGAGATGATGCTGAAGACCTCATTGCGCACGCCGTGCCAGTCGAAGTAAATGCCTCCCGGCGCCGAGAAATGGGGATCGCCGCAGACACCACCGGTGTTGTACGCGCCTGCGAAGGACAGGGAAACAGAACCGTTTGTGTCATTCCGACGAACCTCCGCCCTGCTCAGATATTTCTGCTACACGGAGCGGGTTAGACTGATGTGGCTCCCCAAGAAGATCCTGGAACGGTTTTGAAACTGTGACTTAGGGCTCTAGACCAGTCTCGTAAAATGGCTCTCTCGAATGAGTCATTGCTTCGATAACACGTTTGTTTGTTTGAGTACATGGGATATGTTGCTTGCAGAAATGGAGCAAACCCTCAAGAAGTCCTCGAGAGAAGCTTACTGAAAGAGGAACAGCTCATCACAGACCCGGCCAAGGCTATGTTCTTGGGCTGAAACCAAGAATGGTAGAGGCTTTTGAAAATGAAGAGGGGAGCGCAGGAAAAGATCCGGAGTGCAGGGGACAAGAGGAGAGTGAAGATTAACGATACTGCCAAACTCAACAAAGTGGAAGAGCGCGCAGGGGATGCATAACATTCTTAAGCAGGGAAGACTAAACCAGCCATCAGGGATTCGATTAGTCAGTCAGTATTGACTGCATAGCGCAGCGGGGTCTCATCATCTTTCTCAGCGTAGGGTTAGAAGGATGACGAGACGAAAAATCCTACGGGAGTAGCTGAGCATTTTTTATGGTAACCTCGGCTGCTAGAGTCGGATTAAAACCATTCCAGGGGCGTTTGCTTTTGCGGGCGCTCCGGATCCAGAAGCAGCTGAATGAAGTGATAGACTGAAAGGCTATTGTTGAGTTTTGGAGAAGCCGGACACTTGAATAGATGGTGTAGTTTTTCAAGGCTTCAGGTTTGTTTCTGCTGCTTCTGAAGCGACACGCCTGAGTTGCCGCCAAATGAACACTCACAAAACCTGGCAGATTGGAAGTTTAGAACTTGGGAGGCAAACAGAACCACTGTAAGAACAGAGCAGATGCAGACCGGGAAGAAAACTTTTGAAAACAGAGACCTGCCCAATCTTGTGCCTACTTGACAGCCACTAGGCGCAAAGCAAAAACCTGGAGCATAGCACACTGAAGAACTGGTGAAAGGAGTCAGGAAGCTCACGGGGATTGGTGCAAGAGCTCGACGACGCGACGCACTTGAGCGTGATGTAGTTGCCGTTATCGGTGCACGATGGGCACGAGTTGTCCCTGGACCCGCATCCGCTGTTATAGCAGCCCACCGTGACCTGGTTGCAGCTCGTTATGCTCGTCAGATTCAGTGCCCCAATGGCCGATGTGCACTTGTTTGAGTTGACGCCCGCGCATGGGGCGACGTAGCCGATGTAGGTGGCGCTCGCGACATGAGCGGTGAGCGCGAGCACCAGAAGAAGGGCTGGCAGCTGGCGGTGCGCCATGGGGACAGCTGGCAAGAGCAGATGACAGCTGTACTTGAGCTATCAAAAACCAAAGGGCGCGCGTCAGCTGGCGCAAAATACTGGTGCACTGGGAGCTGCAGAGAGAAACTGAGAAGAAGATTGAAGGAGGAGCTGACAATTGGTCTGTGAATGAAAGACCGGACCTAAGCTTCGCTTTTAAAGTTGCCTTCGCTCATTGCCTCTGTCCTGACGGTGCCAGTAGCTGGACAGCTGCGCCAGTGGAGTTGTTGGTGGAGCAACGTTTGCTCAATGATCACGCAAGCTCAAGCGAACTTTTCGCCTTTCCGGACCCCACGGCGCTGCATGCTCATCCAGAGCATACTTTTAACAGTGCTCAATGAGCTAGGAGGCCGAAGTCAGTACTGGCAGGCTGCATGAGCTACTGCCACTGGTTACCACCCCTGCATGAGCCGCCCTCTGCCATGTGGGCCTGATGATAGGTACCTAGTATACCATGGCTAGAACTAGAAGTAGGTAGGTACCAAGTGGCAAGGGGCCGGTGCAGTTCAAAGACCTCTAGAGTCTAGAAGCCCCGGGCACCTTGACCAAAAACTCTAACTGAAACAACGTGACGCGCCCCGGAGCCCCCACCCTACCCACCGTCCCTTAAACCACCATGTAGAATAAACAATACCCGTCCCCCGGGTGCTCCATCCTTCGCGGACAAAGTAAGTACCCGTACAGGTACCAGGGTACACCGTACGCATCATGCATGGCGTCATGCTGCACAATCATAGGTACCGTAGGTAGTTCCTGAGCCTTGTGCAGGAGCCGCGGGCGCGGCGGTAGTCGCGCACCCGGCTAAGAATATGGTGTACTATGTTTGTGTTTCGAAGTCGAAGTCCATTGGCGCCCTCTTTTGTCCAACTCCGCTCTGTTGGTTATCCGCCGGAGGCGATGGCTGGTCGCCACACGCACCCGTTACCGTCTGGATTCCGAAACGAAACACTGTCGCACCCCGATCCCGGGCTACGCGCTGGGCCCGCGCGGTGTACCCGATCACGGTTCACCTGACCCGAAATACTCGCGCGGCCTGACCCGGTTGCAACCTGGTAGCTGTATCTGTATTCCCGCTGCTACAGCGGGGCACGGCGGGACAGGTTTTTATCGACTGTATGTTGTCCCGCGCGCGATACCCGCAGGGTATCTCCTGAACCCCCCATAGACTGGGATATTCAGAAAAACGCCAAGTCCATATTATAGTATATATATATTATACGATCAAATTTGACCGGCGAAGCAGCCCGGTGTAGTGACTAAGACCTTCGCCTATACAGTGAGGTGAGACGCTCGAATCCCTTCAGAAGCACCTTTTTTTTAACAACTTTTTCTTCAGTTAAGTTGGTAGCTCTTAAGAGTGTTTATAAAGGGTTCAAACAACAACGTAGCCCTTTTGAGTTAGACGTACATTATCTAAGCTCATTTTTAATAGACGTACATTAGCTAAGCTCATTTTTTATAGAAGGAAACCCTGTACATGATGTCTCGTTTGCTAGATATACATACCGTCATCACTCACATACATTCACTCGAATACAAAATGAACGGACATGATCATATTTCCAATACGTGCAATCAATTGACCATCATGGCATATGCACACGAGTGATTCTCTAATTGATTGCATGTAATCCATTTAAATGACGTACAAAGCGAATTCGATATGCCCCGTATCTCAACGTCGTAGTATATGCAAGTTTGCTTTGCAGACTGTTTTATTACTCCTGCATTGCGTCTGCTTCCAAAGGGTTACTACGCAACCATGTCTTGAAACCTTCGTGTCCTAATTCATCTCGCTTTCTAGAGTACTCTTTGATTAAATCCTCAAGCTTTACCTTCTTTTGCTTCTTAATCGAGTCCCCGCCTGCCTCCTCGTCGGCCACTTCACCCGCCTTTCGCTTCTTCATTGTCGGGCAAGCATCAATGAATGACCTCATTGCAGCATGCGGATCCCCTAACGTGTCCGTCTTGATCCGCTCCGTGTATATGATTGCCTCCTCTGCACTTAGCCCTAGAGTCTCCGCCGTGTTTTCGACAAACTTGACAAGTACCTGTAGCCCACTGATCAAGCGACCGACTTCCCTGTCCGCATATTTGAAGGTTCGATCCTCCAATGCTGCCGCTTTCAATGCATCGATGCTCTGTTTTCCATCCAAGCCGACCTTGAATAAGTAATAAGCTTGCGCCACCTGCGTTATCTTTCGGAGAAAATTTAAGGAATAAACATTCTCAACGTCCTGTTGACGTGTCCTTCGAGGCCTCCGTGCCTGACCTTGTTGCGAATTCGTCCCAGCTGACGTACCCGCAGCGCCGGTCTCCTGATCGGCAGCATCACGTGCTGCAAAGTTTGCGCGACCACCCGTTGCAGCTGCGGAAGCAGCGGTGGCATGCTGTGATGTCATCCCTGAGCGGTCGAGGTCGTCATCGGGACCTCCAGCCGTTGCAGCCCCCTGATCTGCGGGTCCCCCAGTTGCTGCGATGAGTGAAATTTCCCCCAAGCAGCGCTGTAACCGCGTCACAGCTCCACGCAAAAGCCCCACGTCCGTTGCGATGGTGTCCAGACCCGCCTTGATCTGCATTCAAATAAGACTTTCGCCATTCAAAAACTGCAAGCCGATTGCAGAAAAAGCCTGTAAAGCCTGTACAGCATGTAAATGCCTGTAAAGGCTTTACAGCCTGCAACATTAGCTGGAGTAACTTTGCATGAGTGAATCCGGGTTTGGCAAGCCAGAACCATCAAACCGTACACTAATTGAGTTGGAACCGCAGTCTGGTTACCTACGAATTCAGGGTCTGGTTGGGTGAGCAACCGGGACCTGGTTGAGGTTAACCAGACTGTGGTTCTGAGCCAGACTGTGGTTCTGAAGATGTGGTTAACCAGACTGTGGTTCTGCGGGTCAACCAGGCCTGGTTAGAGCCGCTAACCAGACCGGCCTGGTTGCGGTTTGATTAGCTCCTGGTTAGCGAGTCTGGTTAGCTGCGGAAATTTCCCTGTGAACGGAATAGCTAGCCTAGAAAAATCATCATCAAAGGTTTGGACCAATCTAAGACTCATAAGTCAACGAAGCAGAAAGGTGAAACTCGACAAAATGTGACGCTCGGGCACCGACATCTGTTCTGACGACAGAGTCAATTCGGTTTCTCACCTCGGCCCCTGGGACCTCTGGCCGCTCAACCACGTCCGGAAGCTGGTCACGGCCTTCTTCCGCATCAACGACCTCCTTCACGAACTGAAGCCAGAGTTCGGCGTGCTCCGCGTCAGGGTCCATCAGGACATGGTTACACAGAGGATGGTCTGGACACCGGTCGTAGACCAGAGCAAGATGCTGATAGACAATTTTCCGCAGCGGCCCTGTAAGCGCCCTGAGGAACTGCTCGGCCGACATGTCACGCTCCAATTTTTTTGGGGCCGCCTTCCGCTCGCCCTTGTACTTGCTGATGAGAGCGTGCCTCTGCACACAGAAGGGCCCATTCCGATGAGCTTTGCGTGCTAAGCAGGAGAAGGCAATTTCATATTAGGGTATCAGCTCTCTAGAAGAGCTTTTCTGAACCGATTTTCGAACACCATGCAGAGGTTGCGCGGCACAGTCTTTACTGCAGCACAATCTGACCTTCATGCAAAGACTAACTTCTGAGCCATTGCAAAGCACAGATCACAGCGGTCCGCTCCTACGAACCTTTGAGCACACCAAAGATGACCTTGTCGGCAACTTACCGCCACAACCTCTGCTAGCTGGCTGTCGGCCTTTGCGAACAGCATGGGGAGGCCGTCCGGAACATCCACATGGAACCGTGGTAGATGATATGCCTGCTTCAGTGGAGGGAACCCGCTCATCACGAGAAGCGCCTCAGGGGGTATGTTGGTCAGGTAGCTTAGGAACATGTGGGCATATACCCAGTGCCCAAGCCGAGCAATATCTGACTCGGACAACCTGCAAGATGGACGATCGAACTCGATGAAAAGCTTATTTAAAAAGAAATGAAACGGCTCCTGACTCGAATTGGCACGCAACACCTTTCATTAGCCGAGCAGACAACAATTATACGTGGACGGTGACCGAGACAAGCAAGTGCGGGACTCCATATCTAACGGTAGTCAGACTAGGCTCCCGTCCTTTTGACGGCCTTCAAAGCAACCGTTCTTTGGCCAGCGGCCTTCAAAGCAGCTTTCAGGAACCAGCGTGCAAGGTACCTGTGGCATGAGAGTCTGGGATCTCACCCTCCGAGGTCAGCCTCCCGTGCACCGACACCCCGAAAGGAGTGTGTGACTTTCGAAGAGCTGATTCCAAGCGCCGCAAATATCCCGCACAAGTACTGGTAGTGTTGGTCGAACCGCAGTGGGACCAAAGGGGAGCGAGCATCGCCGGGAAACAACCAGTACAGGTACCCAGAAATCAGATTTAAGCATTTCGGGTTTTTCTCTGGCAAGTTCTAGATTGGCATAGTCGCGTGTCACACGGACCAAAGTTCCCGAGCAGGTGCTCAGGAAAAGAAAGCCGGTCTGCAAGTGCTTGCAGACAATGAAAGAATAAAAGGAAAGACAGAAACGATTGCTACACACACGATGGCCCTTGCTTACCAGGAGCTGGGAAATGGGCGCATCTCTTGCTCGCTTGCCGCTGTCTGGTTACCCGTTGGGCTACGGGCGGCAACAGGTGTCCGCTCAGAGCTCGAAGTAGTTGAAGCCCCGTCGGCCGCTGCTGAAGTGGCGGCAGCGGGTGACTGGGCGGCTCCGCCTGCAACAGGACTCAACAACGGGCTCCCGTCTGGCGTTAGCAGCTGTGGTCGCTCGCTGTCATCGGAACCACCGTCATCAAAGTCCTCGTCCTCCGCCTCCCTGTATCCGGGATCCTGCCGCAACTGCCGCTCGTACTCAGCTTCTGTGCCCTCAAAAGGGGCCCAGTCTGGGTAGACGTCTTTGGGAAGTCTCCACCGAGTGTCTGGGAATGGCTCATTCAACACCTCCCACCGGTAGTACAGAAGGAGGCCAAGAGCGCCGAACGCGCAGCGCCCCCACTTCTTGTGCTGAATGAGGCCAATCATCTGTTTCCGCCCCTCCTACAAGGACACGCAGAGAACCAATTACAATTCCGAAATTCTACAGGGTAACGCGTGCCAGGTACAAATCAAGCCGAATACCCTTCAGGAAAGGAACGTTCAAACGCGTATAAGCCTAGATTGCCAAGGGGCCTCATACTTGTCAAGAACACTTTGTGAGCACCCCGTGAGAAGATCTATTCTTAAACTCAAAGCAAACATCACGGAGTCGATCGTGCAATGGACAAGACAAACAAACACCTGATATGATGGGCTGGGCGCTTACAGCAAAATCTCACACTTAATGCGTGCCAAGAGCTATGCGCGCCAGCCACTTACTTTGTTCTGCTTCCCTCGATCGGTAACCAGGCCCAGCATCCAACACTCGGTCGGGCCTATGGATTCCTGCTTGAGGGCGAAGAGGTCGCACAAATTGAAGCCACGTGTCGTGTCTCCTCTGCCCAAAGATGAGTGCTGTAGTGCCGACATGGCTCTGCAAGAAAACAAGAATGTAAATCAAATCTGCAAAACGAAAGCGCAAGGTTCCCAACGCCAGCAAAGAAGACCAGCTAACGGTTACTGTCAAAGCGAGTTCGAACGGCCGAGCGGCTATGACGTTAGCAATCAGTCTGCTGACGTCACAGCAAGTTCAAACGCGCGGAACCAAGCGGCCAAGCCCCTCCGACGTAAGCAATCAGCCCGCTGACGTCACAGCAAGTTCAAACGCACGGAATCAAACGGCCAAGCCCCTCTGATGTCAGCAATCAGTACGCTTACGTTAGGGCAAGTTTGAAAGAGCGGATCGAACGGCCAAGCTCGGCGCGGACGTCAACAATCATTCCGCTGATATATTAGAACAGATTTAAAGGAGCTAACTTGAACGGCGGAGCGCCTCTGACATACCTCATTGAAAGCGCTTCGAATACTTTGTCGTAGTCTTCGTCCATGTTGTGGTGCCAAGCATCGTCCAACATCTTGTCCAACATGTCGGTGAGCTGATCGTCGGAGTAACCATCGGACACCGCCCCCTCTTGCCGGTCCAGAAACTCTCTGCAGCAGCATGACTCTCTTTGGCAACCGTGTACATATAAAGTTTGAAGACATCTTGAAGACCACGACTTCCTTCACGACGGCTGAGACGAACGGGACGGACATTCTAGATAGAAAGTGCTTCAGAGAGCACCACTGCAAAGCACGTATGCACCAGCTTTTCTCACTTACTCGCGTGCCCGGGTGGCTGTTTGTCGTGCAGCGGCTCGCAGGCATGTCTTCACGGAGGGAGTCCGCAGGTCGTGTGTCACCCGCACCCCCCGCATGATGCACTGGATCTGGTGGGTGAAGACAAGAGCTTTGACGTGGTCCTCCACAACGCTGTAGCTCTGCAAAGGAATATGGAGTGAATTGGTGCCACATGTATCTCAGATCGTGTGCTCGAACTCGCAAAGCTTGTTGCAAGTCACACTTGCTCCAACCATTAATCAAGCAGAAAAGTTTTGTGAGAAAGCTGATTGCACGTAAAAGCATAAACAGAGTCCAGTCTCAATTGATCGACCAGACTCTGGTCACCACCAACCAGGCCGCCATCGAGTCTGGTCAAGCTTTTGGAGTATGGTTCACGAGCTAATCACGCCTGGTTAAACCGCTAACCAGCCCGGTCTGTTTATGGTCTGGTTTTAGGGTCTGTTTAAAGAGTCGGGTTAGCAGCGAAATCTCCCTGTGTTAGTCCTCACCTTCCGCTTTTTCATCCCCCCTGGCCCAATGATGGGCTGGGTGAGGTTGGCAATGTATGATTCAACCCTTTCGGGGGTGATCAATACCCCCTTCCACCACCACTCTCGTGGTTCCAATCCCACCCCCAAACCAGAGGGCTCGTTTCTGAACTCCCGCATCTCGTCCCACCTCGCTTCGACGTCGGCCTCTCGAAACTTGTTGCGGAAGAACACCTGAAGTTGGACAAAAAACATTGAATGATTCACTTTATGGCCAAACCAGTAGTTTCATTGCTCCCAATCTCTAGCCAGCTGATTGCTCCTCTAAATTGGGTCGATGAGCGGTCAACAAAAATCTAGACAAAAGCACAACCAGACAACCAGTGCAATTTCCACCGCTCGCCGATTGCCAGGCAAACATGCTTGTGCTTGTAGCATTCCGCAATTCACGCGACTTCAGACCTGCAGCAAGCCGAGCACAGTAAAGCCAAAGATGCAGAAACTTGAAAGCTAGCCTTCGCTTCTCCGCTGCACTGTGCACAAAGAACGATCATCAGTTGCATAGCTTGCAAACAGTTTTGTTGCCTACCTGAAACTCCCCGGTCCGCGAAAGGTACTTCCCTTGGCTCCGTGGAGCTAGCGTGGCGATGTACTGAAGAGCAACTTTCTTACGATCATCCAGACTCGGAGCCATAAGATCTTCTTGCAGCACAGTCTGGGCCGCAATAGATTCAGCCTTTGCTTCTTCAGGAGTGCTTGGAGGGTCACCATGGCTTGGCAACCCATCATCGTCGTTCGCATCCGACTCCCCATCTGCATCCGATTCTGCAGCCTGAATTGCTGCACGCTGTTGTGCTCGCTGCATTCTGGCACTTATGCGTTTCGAGACACGCCGCACCGGTGTCCCTTGTTCAGAACCATCTGCACCACCTTCGTCAACACTGGGGGAATCTAGGTGCTGCCTTCCAACATTTGGTGAATCTAAACCTCTATCGTGAGAAAACTCAAACGGGTGGCCAGCTCGACGCTGAGGTTCAAAAGGGCTTGCAGAATGCTGAAAGTAACGGGGACGCCGTCTTTCAAACTCGGGAGACGCTGGACTATCTGCATTCACAAAGAAGCCAACCGTTAGTATGCGTCGCTTTGCTTGCTGTTCAAATCAACTCAGCTGACTTGACTCTCAATACACCGGGCAACTAATGTCCAGCTTCAACTGCTGCTGTACACTCACAGCACACGTTACAAATTGAAACATAACAAGGAACTGAGCTCATGAGAAGGTCTGCCAACATTCAGACAGATTTGCAAGACAAGCTTTTCAAAGTCTCTGTTGGGTTTCAACTTGTCCTGCTGCCCCTCTCAAAAGGTCATTCTGTAAGCTGGTCTCGAACCAGGAACAAGTTGATAAGCAAGATCAGAATATAGAGCAAACATTTCACCACTAACATCTATGTTTTGTAATGTTCACACCCTATTTTCCAAATCCTAATGTGCTGGAAGTACCAATTTGGCACATGCTGGAGATAGGCTAAGATAATTTGGTGCTGGTCTTGCAATTCAAGTGGCACTTGCAACTGTCTCACATCAGTAAATGGGAGCTCAAGCTTGTTGAAGGGCAGCTCACCTTCAGCAGAATTCATCCTTGGCTATCTTGCTTGAGTAAAATTACCATGCTTTGTGCCAACTCTAAACGAGTGCTGGTACTTCTTTAAGTGAAAACCCAAAGTATGGCAGCTGTTTGGTAACGGTATGTCCTCCTTGTTTCAGCTGGCACCACCGGAATTGACTATCTTTTTAAAGCTGTTTCAGCCCCGTTTCAGCATTGAGCAAAAAGCAATCCACCATTGCTACATTGTCACAATTCAGGCTTGGTTGGAATGGCATTGAGGCAATGCTACCATTGGGCTGCTGCTGGTATGCTTTTGTTCTCTGCCTCTCAACAAGCCTCAGGACCTTGCTTCTTGCTTCAGCTTGATCGAGCTAACAACTAACTTATTAGGCGCGGCTCCTGCAACAACCTGGTTCCTGCCAGCACTGAATGCTAGCCGGCCTGCCGGAAGCTGGGTTATAACCTATTGTATGGTCCCTGGTAATAGCTTATTGAGATTGGACAGGCTATAGGCGACGGCTTTCTTACGGCAGAACTGACGTTGAGCGCTTGATGGTTTCTTGATCAGCCAGGGGGTCACCGACGGAGTCGCGCCGGTCCGGGGTAACACAGTTAAAATTGGAGCGGGACCGGCCGCGCGGCGGTACGGTGTCCCGCTGCCCCACGGCACCGTGTCCCGCGGAGTGCCCCGTCGCTCGATACGGCTCTGTACGTGTGTCCACTGTCTTGGCTTTCGGGCCCCGGGGGATCACTCTCACAGATACTTTTCCTCAGTTTAGGTATGTGCTCTGGATAGGATCCTAGATTCGGAAGCTGGATGCCAGTGCGCAGGACGTGACTTTGAAAGAATTCTGCTCATCGACTCCTCTGATCTCAGTCACTCCAGTACGTACGTCCTGCAGATGTGATGAGAATCGCCAATATTCTTCACCTTCACCCAAGTACAGCTGGCAATTCCTGGTGCCTAAACTCTGGCCTGTAGCTTGGGATGGTCATGAAACCAAGAATCATTGATATCTGACGAGCCTTTCAAGTTTTCAGTGCCGATATCAGTGCTTTACTATCTATGGGGTGATGATCACAATTGATTATATATGCCCACGTCCCCAGCGTGGGCATCACGTGTGCCGCCTCTGATCGGTACTGTGCCGAGCGAACTTTTTATGAGGGGCGGTCGCACATGCCCGACTTAGATCGACATACCTACCTATGTAGTTAGAAAACAGCACCTGCACAGCCTTCCACTAGTGTACACAGTACGAGACCGGGATTTGGCAGTGCTAATTACGAGCGAGACAAACATATGCATATGAGCATGATACATGTTCTGTTAAAGTGAGGCCATATTGGCCATGATTGGATGAACGGGTATAGGTATACAGCCTCTAACCGACGCCCACTGACTTTAAGCGGCAGTGCTTTGAAATGTTCATCGAGCATCTGGGCTGATCTGGCCCATTCTAGTACCGGTATAATGTCATTGAACCCGACTTCGCTTCAGAGGTAGCAGCCTGTCCCGGTAAAAGAGCACTTCACAACCCGGGACTGTCGACAACCAGCTGTGAACCAGCTAGCAGTGAATCAAGCATATAATTACTTTTATTTCCAGCTCTGTACTGAAAGTGAGCGAATGAGTAAATCCTTGATTTAGTTGAACGGTCATCAAAAGTTGAGGCTACAATGAACCGCAAGTGAGTGAAACTTGCGGTTGATGGCGTTGACACAGCAGCTTCAAGAACGTCAAGTCTCAAGTGTGTGAAGATGAATCGAACAGTATGTCATTATCGTTCTGTACCACTGATTTGGCCGCCTCGTTGAAATCATGCAGTATTCAGGGCGTTATACAGTTTGCTGTTTCTGTAGTTATGCACCCAACGTCCACGCAGCTCGATATCCTTCGGGCAGCACTTTCCGCTCGCATCGTACACCCTTAAAACTGCTCATATGTGGACCGATATGCCTCCACCTACTAGTACAGGTCTCTGATTGATCACAGTCTTTATGAGCGCGGCCGGTCATGGTGCAGGCAAATGGTTGAGAGATGCAGCTTCGTTCGATTGGTGGAAGAGTAAATGCAAACGACAACGATAGATGATACTGCACAAAGGATCAGCCGCCACTTCCGTCATCCAGTGACCGGTTCGAGGTAATTTGAAACCCCTTCCTTTATTCTCCTCCGATTTCAATCTGATCTGTCTACGTCACTATGGTAAGTTTCGACTCACTCCGTCTTCAAATTTCAGAAACTTGTGCTCCGGAACAGCTCAACAAGTGTGTAGGTTACAGCACCTGACTACGAGTACCATGAAGAGCTTCAGCGGCAATAATGACATGCACAAATCCTTCTCGACGACGGCCAGAGCGAAAGCTGCTTATGCTCGACTTCAAATGTTCAAAGGGAACTTGAATGCCCAAAGGAGAAGCCCACCTGGGGAACTCTGCTGAAATTTCAAACGGTTCTAAATGAATGGCTTCCTGAATTCAGGTCGCGTCATATTGTTCTAGAAGCAGACCAGCGACCCCGTCTCCTGGCTGCACCGCGCGCTGACCGTCACGCTGGCGTCATCAGCAGCGGAAAGCTCCGCTGACGTCAGCATCTTGCGCGAGGCCTTGGCGCCGTCCTCGATCATGTTGACGTTGCGCAAAGTGACGCCAGCGGCAAGATTGAACTGGTTGAAGTCGCTGTCGGCTGACGTCAGCGAGGACACGCGGTAGTAGTCGGTTTTGCCCTCCACCAGGAAGTCGTGACCCGTCGCGTTGGCCGTGACGGCATTCCGGCGCTCGACAGCATCCGGGCGGAACATCTGGCCCTGCAGCGGAACGGGGCGAGGTGCCAGGGTCAGCGGAACGGAGGGACGGAATGATGACTGGGTCCGAGAAGATCACAATCCGGGCCCAAAAGGGAGACGTGGGACGGCAGAGGTTCAGACATGATCCAAACCGCTACTTGCCCAGATCGTGTGGGGTGAGACCAGGGACAAGTGCCGCACGATTCAGATCTGAAAAGCGACGTGATGCATACAGGGCGGTGATCATCAAAGCTGCTAGGCTCGTTCGCCAACGTCGATCCACGTACTCGCAAAACTGCTTGCTCGCCTTTGTCAGTTCGGCAGATTTGGGACGCTTGTTCGACACATCAAACAAGTTATGCGGCGGTGTAACCAGATCAATTGAAACCGAAGCTGAGATAAACATCTCGGGAAAAACTCAGCGCCGACAACAAGGCAACGCACATGGTCCTTTGAGACTCCCTGGTTCTGCTACCTGTAATACGCGTCGCTCGAATGTCAGGCGCGGAGAGACTGCCACGTGGCTTACCAGGACACCGTGAGCGTGGCGGGAGAGGGTGATGCTCTCCATGTTCATGTCGAGGTACTTGCCGAGGGGGTCCAACTAGAGAAGGACAGGAAAAGAGAGAACGTCAGAACGGGGCAGATATTAGGTCTTTGAACAGCTGTCGTCCAATGAAGATCTGTCACCGAGCTGTGGGGAAATGTGCGAAGAGAAGGTGGCTGAGGCGAACAGAAACGTGAGAGCGACTTTGGGATCGCAGTCAATCAAAGGACAGTACTTTATCGAACGTGAGAAAGACTTATAAAGTACGAATAGTGAGGTGGGCATTAGGATGCTTCCGAAAGAAATCAATCCATTCATTGAATCTCCGACAGGTCGAACAAGCCAGGCAGCCTGTTGGTCACCAGAGTCCACCAAGCCGACGCAGAAAAGGGACAACAATCCGATTTGGTGCAAGCAAGATAATACAGTTTCTGTGGTACGTTCTGCGAAGTTCTACACAAGACGTAAACAGGCAGCGGCGCACCTGGATGCGGCTCTCGACGCGGGGGTTGAACGTGGCTTCGAAGAGGCCGTCGATCTTGATGCGGGCTTGCGCGCGCATGTGGGGCTCGCGCGTGATGGTCGCCCGGCCATCGGGGGACGCCCAAGTGTACTCGGCGGTGCCCTGCACGATTAAGAAGTGGAGTTATAACTAGGAGCCGATAAGAGAAGTGAAGGAACATCAACAGGTATTCTATTTGGTACGTTTTTACCTTGATGAGTTTTCGCTGGCTTCAAGGCAGATCCAGCAGGAAACGTATGAGTACGTCTTGGCCTACCCAAAGACGGAAACGTCTGCGGAGCGAAGCCACGAAGCAGGAGCGAACGATCGGACGGATTAGACAACTTCAAAAGTGAGGAACTCGGATCTAATTTCTTAGCTAAATCCGATGGCACGAGAGCAAAGGAGAGCACGAAGCGCGGTTCCGGGAAAGCCATAGCTCAAAAGTCGGAGTCGAAAACCAGATGGTTGCAGGCGCTGCTCAAAGGCAAAGAACAGCGGACAGGAGCAACGAGGATAGGATATTTTGGTCAGGTGCAAGCTTGCCAGACTTGGTTTTCTCATTCCATTCGGGAAAGCATGGAGTCAAACACAACCCGCTCCAGCCCATTGAGGAAGTATCGGTAGATCCTCATGTTCCGTCTAAAAGACTTCGGCTAAAGGCATTCGCAAGATTTGCAGGGTGGGATGGTTTATTCCTGTCAGACCGAATACGGCGATAAAAGGCAGGAAACAGGAAAGGAGAAGCTTACCGAGCCGACTGGGATGTCCTCCCCGTCGAAGGTGAAGAAGAAGACGTCAGCGGCCTCGAACTCCTTCTCCTGGTCGATGCCAATGCTCACAAAGTGGGTCGCGCCAGACTCGTCCTTGAAGCCCATGGCTATCTCCTGCCAAAAGAAAGGGTTAAGAAAGGGGTCAGCGTTGACACGAATCACGTGGATAAGAACAAGGTTTTGGAGCGTATCAAGACACCAGAAGAATTGCGGATTGTGACGGAGTGTGAAAGCCCCCATTGCGGCTTGGCGCTACAACGACATACCTGCAATAGCCATGGGCAAATCTGCATCTAATCAAGCAATGCAGGTGTCTTCCAGCAGAGTCCAATCAGGCCATACACTGGCAAAAGAAGAAAATGGCGAGAGACGACATGCATCTGCGTGAGAACCAGGAGGTTTGTATTTGCAAGGGGCCAGCTGTTTTCATTTGAAGCCCTATGAGAGGACCACATTGTGTGTTTTACACTAGGTTCATCTTCATCATCTGTATTCACCTCGATCCAGGTGCCGTGCTCGACATCCTCCGTGTTATCGCGCTCACCAACGAAGCGGGCATTCAGCTGCAGGATGTGACATTCGCATGTTAGTCCCCTCATCATTGGACCCCGGGTATGAGGGTAGACCCAGACAAGCATCAGAGAAGGGGACAGAAAACGAAGTCGGTACGCTTATCCAGTTGAGTTGGTAGAGCATCGTCAAAATAGTGGGGGCTGTTGGAAAGGGGATAAAATAACTTGAGAGGGGCGCTTTAAGAATTAAACAGAATCGATCCAGGCTACCAATGCCAGCTGTCATGTCATCGTGGGCTCATCTGATTTTCAAGCCAGTGCTTGGGCTGTCACATTGGTAAAAGAGGGGCTGGAAAATTGTCCTAAGCTGTCTCAAACCACACTCTAAAGTAAAGAAAACTCATGCAGGACTGTGTTTCTCGGGCTTCATTCATTCAGCATTTGGATCTAGAAAAGTTCAGTGCCCCCTTCGAAGCACTTTCGTCTTGACATATTTTGTCTCAAAAGGCAAGCGGTAGGTGTAAACTGACTCCCTGCCTTCGGGTGACTCCAGTTCAGGGCCCGAATGGAAATGCTATCAGACGTGCAAACCGAGGTCACGTGCCTTTCTCTCAGCTGACACCAGGCCTGCTTCCACGGGCTGTGGATAGCCTCTTACCTGGAAGTCAGTGTCAGAGATGATGCTGAAGACCTCGTCACGCACGCCGTGCCAGTCGAAGTAAATGCCCCCGGGAGCCGAGAAGTGAGGGTCGCCGCAGAACCCTCCGCTGTACGTCTCTGCAAAGGGAGCACATGACATGAGCCAGTAGTGCCGGAGAAGAATGCTTGATTGAGCCGACGTACAGACTTCAGGATCAGTTGCATTCACGACCTTGCCCTAGTGGGACCCTGGTGAAGACAAGTGTGGTTTAAGTGAGGTTTCTCAATAGCGCGAAGGCATGTATGCATCTGAAAAGGGACAAGGGAGTGAAGTTATACGCCAACTCTAGGAGTTGCTGCTTGGCTTAGTTGTGTGCGTGCTGGGATGTGAGGATGGAGGTACAGGTTGCTCAAATTTTCTGGTCATGGGAACAAAGAAAGAAGCGATATTCTGCACGTAGCTGGGGTTCAAGACAATTCGAAGCTGGGGAAACCTGACCGACTATCAACCAAGTAATGGCTGCTTAATTAGCATCAAGGGATTCAAGGTCTCTGCGTGGATTTGAAGAGGCTGTGAGACACCATGATGAAACAGACTAGTTAGAACGATACAAGTGAATGAGACACATCACCAGGCCCACAAAAGGAACCTTTCAGCACCTGCTAAGTAAATCTCTTTTCAAGTTGACATCTGGACACGCTTTATCTCAAGAGGTACTTTCCTGAGGCTCTGGTAGGTATTACAAATTCAAGAGTTGACAAAATAGGCTCTCCAGCCCCCCCTTTCCCCCCTGCTGAAGCTCTCCTACCAGTAGTAAAATGGTGACGATGAGCGTCAGTCCTTAGATTAATTAGCAGAACTAGACGGAGGAGAAGAAATTGACTTTTCTCAGGTCGCAAACAAGGGCGGTATGGTGACACAGGGAGGACTAGATATACAAATCTAGAAGGAGAAAAAAGCGTCGCAATTTGTTCAAGATAAAAGCTTTGGCTCACTGGGGTTGTCGCTGCTGCATGAATAGTCCTTGCACTCGAGCTTGATGCCAGTGGCGGTGACGGAGCATTTGGGGCAAGAGCCTCCGTCCAAGGTCAACTTGCCGCAGGCAATTGGGAACTTGTAGCAGCCCACAGTGACCTGGCTGCAGCTTTTTATGCCCTTCAGGTCGAGTGTCTTGTCGACCCCCGTGCACTTGAGCTCGTCGACGTCGTCACACGGGGCCATGTAGCCAATGTAGTTGGCGGTCGCAACGTGCGCGCGCCGAGCGCGAGCACCACGAGGAGCGCCGACAGCTGGCGGGACGCCATGGGGAGAGCTGACGAGCGCAGGCGCACAGTTTCTGCGCTGAGAAGATGATAGGATGCCGTTCTGGCGAAGGATGGTGGCGCAGGATGAGCAGATGAAAGAGAAAGCGCTGGTTGATGAGGGGATGATGAGGGAGGCGACGTTGCAAGAAAGTTATTCTGAGAATGAGAGACCTTAGCTCAAAAGCTTGCAACGGAGACGTGAATCTAGCCAGACATATTGCGAGCTTGAAGTCTGTGATCGAACCACACCGCACTCTGATGCAACATGAGAAGCCTGGTGAACTCGTCGAGCTGGTGCTGGAGGCCGCGGCAGATAGGTAGCAGGCTATACCGAACTGGATCTGTACGTCACATCATTGCCGTTCTGGCCGTTTCTCCACCGGATTCCACGGCCCCACATGACGGCCGGCCGCACTTGGCAGATTACACAGCTGTCAGGGGTTCCCCGGTCACTTCAAAGTTCAAAACGGGCCAGCCGCTGAGCATGGCGCTGATCCGCTGGTGACCGGGGGCCGACCCTCCAGGGCCGACAGCGCCTTATATCACAGCATCGAGACGTTTGTGCATGTCGACAGTATCCGTACTCACCCAGACGGTCCCGCCCGGGCTAAACCCCTCAATAAATGGCCGGGCTGATTGACAGTATTAGGTATGCAATTCGACGCCACCGGAATAGCGACTGCAGACTCTACTTTCGGCCTTAAGTAAGCCGAGCAGAGCGGTCACTGGTCGCCACTTGCGGTGGTTATCGTCGTTCCGACTTTTCGCAAAATTTGCCTATTAAATACTGATAAATTGCATGAGAACCTCGGCACTGGCTGCCCCGGGGCCTGACTCTTCGCGCGGCCGTGCCCAGCATGCAGCTAGAGGGCGCCCACTCATGCAATCCATTACTAGTGTGGCGCTGAGTGACATTCCGATTGTCACATCATGCCCACACCATCTCTAGCTGGTGCAGTAGTACCAGTACCAGTTCTTTGTCCGGACCGGCCGGAGGCGCACCCTTCCACCCTGTTACCTCGAGGCCAATATTTACAGCTCTCCTCAACGGGACTCCTTAAGTCCAAGCAAGTCGAGCTAGGGCCAGGAGCTGGGCGCACCTTATCAAGCTGAGACGTCACGGGCCGGATTAATCAGTGCGCGTACGAATCATTCCAGATGGGACACACAGTGAATACAGTCGCCCCTTCGGCGGCCCGTCGCCGCCCGGGAGTGCATCATGGTCACACCATAGAATCAATGCATCTACTTTTAAGTTTTCCAACACTTGATCGATCTGCCCACGCACACCTCAGGATGCATCATTAGCTTAAATCATCACATGTGCACTGGGTACTGCGGTACGCATGAGGTCTTGAGGTACTGACCTGCCAGACCTCGGACGTTCTTAGTCTGTACCGCTTAGACCTTTACTTTCGTGATTGAATCGCACTATCTGTACATCACGGCATCAATTGTCGTCGATCCGTTGATGAGCCTTGGCTCCATGCTACGTACAGAATCAGTCACTTTTGAGGACTTTCCTGGACCACAAGCATGTGCGGTTTCCAGCCCGGCGGCCGAACTCGACCCATATATTTACATCACTCGAAGCATTTCGGCGCCAGGGCCTACTTTGACATCGTAGTTTGGCCCGGCCTCCCAAAATGTTTCTTCCAAGCGGCTCAGTGAAGACAAAAGTCCCGTGGGCCGGACAAAGTTGACATCGCAGATTCGACAATATTCACCAAAGCCTAAATTATCATTGGAGCACTAACCGACATGCAATTAGAACCAGGACCGTGCAGATCGATCAACATTGCTTCAATGGATGGTATGGTACGTACGAGTAGTTTGACGGCATCACCTCATCAACACCTTTTAACCCCCAATGATGGACTTGAAATGAAACCCCAGCTTGCACATGTGAGTGCAAACTTGCGGATCCGAACTCGATCAGCTCAGCACTCTGAAAGCTTTTAGGTTCAGAGACACTATGTTTTCTGGACGAAGGGAACAAACTACGTTATCGTCGAGGTGCTCGTATCGTTCAAAGGACCAAAACTGTTGTACAAGCTTTCGAATCAGTTCTAATGAAGTGCCCTCGTTTCTCCTAACTCCAATAGTCGTCCGCCAATCTTCCTTCACCCTCAGTTGATTGATCACTTCCAAATAATCATGAATCTAGATCGAGCAGCTTGCAACCCTCAGTGCTGTCTGCTTCATCTGGTTTTTGGCTCATCTGGTTTACCCGCCAGCCATTCATCTGCTTTACCGCCAGCCATAATGACTACTTTACAACATCAAAACAAACCGTTGCTGATAGCGTTGTTAGTCCCATAACCAGTCCTCTAACCAAGGTATGGCTATGCTCACTCGGTGATCTCCCGAACTTAAGCGCAAACCAGCGACCCCCGATCCTGACTGCACTGCACGCCGAAGACCATGGTGACGTCTTCACCGTCGGGCACGCTCGCTGACGTCAGCATCTTGCGCGAGGCCTTGGCGCCGTCCTCGACGATGTTGAAGTTGCGCACGGTGACGCCAGCCGCCAGGTTGAACTGGTTGAACGTGCTGTCGTATGACGTCAGCGACTCGACGCGGTAGTCCGCCGTTTTGCCCTCCACCAGGAACTCGTGGCCCGTCGCGTTGGCCGTCACGGCGTTCCGGCGCTCGACGGCGTCCGGGCGGAACATCTGGCCCTGAGAGCGGAACGGAGTGAGGATAGGGTCAGTGGATTCTTGGAGACTGTGTTAAGTTTTTGATCTCTCAGATGAGCTTCTTGATCGGGACCCGGAAATCAAGGTTTGAAAGAGTCTGGTGAGCAAATGTAGTCAAGTCCAAACCTCTCGATCGAATGGCTTCACTCGCTGTACGTGAACTGAGATAGCATCGAAGTGCTGCAGAAACCAGGAACGGCGGAAAAGCATGCTTACACAGACAGTCTTACAAACCAACTTCGTCTTACTTGCTTAAATCTGCTGAAACTATTATTTCTGCCCTTACGACGAACGAGAAGGCTGTGCGTGACGGCTGCCCGACTTTCTTGAAGCGGCAATGAGGAGATGAAGGACGCTGACAAAAAGGCAGCGCACGTACTTCTCAAGAAAGGGTGCTTGTCCAAATTGACGACGCCGCTCGACTTAGAGAGAGACGCGGAGAGACGGCCACGTGGCTTACCAGGACGCCGTGAGCGTGGCGGGAGAGGGTGAGGCTCTCCATGTCCATGTCGAGGTATTTGCCGAGGGGGTCCAACTAGAGAGGGCGAGGGAAAGAGGATTCAGTACCGGGCAGATTCTTAAAGTCTGGATAGCCGTCAATTGTACGAGAGCGTTCTTAAGCGAACAAAAGGAGGTAAAAACCCTCCTTTACCTCGCTTCTGTAAGGGAATCAGAAGCGGGAATGTCAGAGCCAACGGAATCGCGGAAGTTGACTTCGAAAGCGGCAGTCGGACGACGGAAAGGATCACGAGCTTGCGCACGACCTGTCAAGCAAGGTGTTTGGCAAGCCGAAGTCTCCGACGAGTCAGGGAAATTTTAGAATTAGAGTAAGTGCACGGAATCCCCACAGAAGCGAACGCCAGGGCGCACCTGGATGCGGCTCTCAACACGGGGTTTGAACGTGGCTTTGAAGAGGCCGTCGATGTTGATGCGGGCGTGCGCGCGCATGTGGGGCTCGCGCGTGATGGTCGCCCGGCCGTCAGGAGACATCCACGTGTACTCGGCGGTGCCCTGCACGGTTGAGGAGCGGGGTTAAGCTTAAGGTGCCGCTGACAATCATAAGCTGGTGTGTCCTCTGAAGCCGAGAAACGCGAAAGACAGGTGTGTTTCGCTGACCGCTAGAAGGGAAGGCAGATTCAGGAATTGTTCGATGAGACTCCCCATTGGAGCGTTCTTTGATCTCCCTCTGGAGAGCGTCTGGGAGCATCTGGCAGGGTTTCCGGAATGGTGGAGAAGCCGCGCAATACTGAGCGCAATCCTTTAGACGGGATAGACCGCTTCACTCAGTAAGTTTTCTGGGATAGTGCACGAAGGAGCACTTTCTAAGGGAGTGGCGGGCTCAAGTATCAGCATCTACTGCAGAGAAGGGTATCTTGAGTGCTGCTTAGAAGTGACCGACGGCTGAGAAAATTCAGCGCCTAGGAGCGAGCCAAATCGAGCTACCCGCACGGGATAGGGGAAAGAGAACTTGACACAAGCTTTGGCAGGGGACGAGGAACTCCGCGTCATCCTCCAGGGACTGTGTCAAAGGCAGAGCAAGAGCCAGCGTTCAGAAAAGTTTCTTCAAGCAGAAGGATATTTAGTGGATTCATGGAGCGGGCCGCAAATGCGTGTCATGAATACGGAGCAGATGGACACTAAGAAGCCGAACTTACCGAGCCGACTGGGATGTCCTCTCCGTCAAAGGTGAAGAAGAAGACATCAGCAGCCTCGAACTCCTTCTCCTGGTCGATGCCAATGCTCACAAAGTGGGTCGCGCCAGACTCGTCCTTGTAAACCATGCCCATCTCCTGCAAAGATGGGGGTAACCAACCGGTTCAAATGCAAACGCGTCCGACTTGACCTAAGGAAAAACTCGACCGACTTTTTGTGATAGGAAGCAGGGCATCAGCGGAGGGAGAGGACTCCACTAGGGGCGTTGCTATTGTCCCAGTCCAAACAGGCACTGTTGACAAGCATGGGAAACACAGAAGGAACTGTTGACGTCCATCAAGCGGAGTCTATCGAGGGTTGTTTCCCAGCTGGCTCCGGTCATCAGGATCCGCAAGAGGCCAGCTATGCTGGACTAAATGCGCCCAGAGAGTCAACTTCTATCTCCTGACAGAAGGGTAGCGGGTATATCCCTCAGAGAAGGACGTGTCCTCACCTCGATCCAGGTGCCGTGCTCGATGCTCTCCGTGTTGGTGCGCTCACCGATAAAGCGGGCATTCAGCTGCAAGACAGAAGAAAAGCGCTGATTACTTTCCTTGACCAGACTAAAGCGGAAGCCTTTCAAGGCAAGAGCACGAAGAACACCGTAGACATTGATAGGAGAGCCAACAAGCTCAAAGTTTGTACAGCTTTTAAGGGTTTACGATGCAATGGATAGTGGATGAGGGGACTTCAACAAGAGAGTAAGACCGGGCTACCCAAAGCAAGTACGACCGGGCTACCCAAAGCAAACAGTCCTGTTGGGCAAGAGGTTTGCTTTAAGACCCTAAGACCCTAAAAGCTTAAGAGCCTAAACCCTGAACAAAGGGGCAGGATGCCAGCTGCCATGTTATGGGGCTTTTCTGCTGAGGTTTTCTGCCAGAGCTGGGGCAGTGCTAGTCATGAAAGTGTGCTGGGAGCTGCTTCCAGAATGTCCTCGAATCTTGAATGGGAGTCAGCGATCAGCATTGTGCTTCACAGACCTCAATGCTTATCCAGCATTTGAGTCCAAAGAGACCGCAGTGCCCCCGATGAAGCCCTCCATCTAGAAAACCGTCAGAAGGCAAGCAGTACGGATGAAGAAGCTGTATCTAACTCCCTGCCAGGCCAGCCCACTTCGAGAAGAAACTTTGCAAACCTTGTAAACCGAGTGTTGATGTTCTCCTCTGTTTTGACACCAGGCCTCTTTTGACACCATGCCTGCTTTCTCAGGGTTTGGACAGTCTCTCACCTGGAAGTCGGTGTCAGAGATGATGCTGAAGACCTGGTCCCGCACGCCGTGCCAGTCAAAGTAGATGCCCCCAGGCGCCGAGAAGTGGGGGTCGCCGCACACTCCACTGGGGCTGTATGCAACTGCAAATAGACGAGGAGTGAGTCAGTGTTGCAAAGGTTTGACTGCTTTGGGCTGTGCTTGGAAGACCCTGCCAAAATGAAGAGTGTAGAGTTTGGACTGTTGTGTTTTGTGTGACTTTCCCACAGAGTTCCAAACCTTATAGCTGGACACACTGATCGAGACATTGTGGCCCAATCTGACGTTTGCTGGCTTTACTGTGAACCTGCTTGGCGATAGCTATGTCGTTGGACAATGATATTGCTTGACAATCCTGGTCAGACAGGGAAGAGGTCCTGATGGGAATGGAACAGGCGCTGAGCACAGACACAAGTAGTGACATTGCTGGAGCTGAAAACAGCCATGGGGAAATGTCAGCTCAATCACTCAGCACGGACTGCATAGCATAAGCCACAGTATGAGGTTAGAAGGTTGACAAGATACCAGACTCAATGGAGTAGCTCGATGGAGGTCAAAGGTTCTGGTCCAACTTAGAAACATTCCCATTGGCTGTGGCAGCAGTCCAGCTCTGTTCCCAGATGTATCTGCTCAGCATCTGGAGAGGCTCTGATGACTCAAGAAGCCAGAGTTTCTAGGAAGGAGCTCTCAGCTCCTCAGGGCCTAACCCCTTCTTCTGCTGCTTGCCGCTTGACTGGGAGGGCCACCGGATTGCTCAGGTCAAGGACTGGCAATGCTGTGGACCTTTCAAAGGGCTGAAAGACTTGGAGTTCAGAGAGTAACAGGAATGAGAAGTTTTTCAAAACTGGCTGGTTTGATATGCAGCCAGCTCAGCAACGCGCGGTCACGAGCAATGCAAAACTCTAGAAATGATGGATCTTGATGGGGGAGCTTACTGGGGTTGGGGTTGGAGCACGTGCCCGACGTCGAACAGCTGATCGTGACGCTCTGGCCATTGTCCTTGCACGACGGGCACGAGGTGTCCTTGGCCCCGCACGTGTCCCCGCTCCCGTAGCTCTTGTAGCAGCCGACGGTCACCTGGTTGCAGCTCGTGATGAGCGTCGTCGTCACGGTCCCGTAGGCCCCGTAACATTTGAGGGAGTTGATGCCGACGCACGGGGCGATGATGCCAATGTAGGTGGCGGTCGCAGCTTGGGCGGTCAGGGCGAGCACCAGGAGGAGGATGGACAGCTGGCGGGGCGCCATTGGGACAGCTGGCGGGCGCCGGGCTGGCAGGTGTTGAGCTGGGGAAATGAGAGGATGCCACTGGCCGGCGAGGGATGATACAGAGGGATGGTATAAAGGGTTGATATGGCGGCGCAGAAGAAGCCCAAGAGAGAGCGCTGGATGATAAGGAAGGCGTTGACCTGTGTGTGAGGTATGTCAGTCAGACTATCCGTGAAGATTGAGCGCCCGCCTCAGGCACAGGCCAACGTAACGGAGCCAATACATGCCCTAGTAGTACGGTAAATTAGTGCAGGGCGTTGCGCCAGATAGGAAACCGTACATCAAAAGTTAATAACTTGTCCTTGGTCTGGCTGCCTGGCACCCAATAATCTGATTCTTCCTAAATTCTGTTTACTCCTTGCCCATCGGAGGCCAATAACAACTCCCAAGCTTTCAAGCGCCTTTCTCCTTTCCGGATCCCACGCCCCACATGGCAGAACAGCCAGAGACTTAAGGTGGACTACCTTGGTGGACTAAGTGGACTGCCTGGCGCTCTGAATCTGATGCAATTGCGGATAATTGCAATTATCCGCAACAGGTACCGTCACCGGCGTAGGTACCTCTGAGAGTGCAAGTTGGAGCCCGGTTTTCAACAGCCGCCAAGAGAACCGGGCCGATAAGGGACCCCGGGCGGGACCCGCCGGCTGCTTGGCCAGCGCAGAAATGGCGGCCGGTAAATCCAAATGCCAGCTACCGAGCCAACAGAACCGGGTGGGGCGCCAGCAGCTGGCCGGCCGGGACGACCTTCCCGCATGGGAACCCAGTTACCCAGGGGCCAGGTGGCAAGCTGCAATTCAGGGACCTTGCAATTATGCTGTTGACACCATCCGTACACTCCGGGCCTGACATTTAAGGGCGCTGAGACGCGGGCAGAGACGCGGGCTCTGTACTTTAAGCCTGAAGGTGTACACTGTACCTACATCATGCAGAGCGCGGGCGTTGTATAGGCATCCTGTCACGGTGATACTGTGCGCGAGCGACAGAACGATTCGTGTCCGTGGCTCGGCCGTCGCCGTAAAAGCACGGACATGCCAGTGCATGAGCCCTCAAACTTATGCAAGTTTTCAGGAGCCTCAGACTCGGGGTTGCGAGAGAGCGCATCGTCGCATCTTACAGAAGAGGCAAAACATCACCCGAAAGGTCTTGAATCACGCGCGCGACTCGTCAAGATTCAATCTGTTCGGTTCGCGCGAACCCGGCGTCCCTTCGCTGCCCCGGGCTTTTGACCAGATTATATTGGATCCAGCTAAATTTACTATACAGGTAGTCTGATCAGTATTAATGTCGTTTTTTTGCTTGTACATTATCTGCATGCCATGCCCCGCCATGCTGCTGTCCCGCCGTCAATATTGTACTCGACCTAGTAAGTTTGGCGCAAGGGGCACTAGTCATGCTTTTTATTTCTTGTAGTTGACCTAATATCGAGGCAGATTCTGGGTAATTAGTACTCACCAAGGAATATAACGGAACCAATCCACAGACGTCATTACTGCACGCTCCTCATTGACTCGATACTGGCTGGATGGCCCCGTTTCTATATACTTGCATGGATTTATCCCTTATCGAATCCGTGACGTCTGTCGCCCATCCGAGTTTTGGGAGCCAACTACTTCAGGTTGTGAAACATCAATTCTTAACAGTACGACCTGAATCAGTATAATTAGTACGGCTCTTGAAGTAGTACGGCAATCAAGTAACTTGCGCCTCAGTGACAACAAGAACAACTTGAAGTTCTGTGTTTTGAGCAGAATGATTGCCCCAAATCAACCCTTATGGATCAAGGGTAAACCATCCCAACTTCAGTCCGCGGACCACTACTGAGGTCCCGAACGCACTTCGTCTGACGGCTCGCTGGCCTTAGCTAGTAATCTTAGTAAGGTCGCGCTTCAATTGAAAGTGTTCCCTTCAGATATAACGGCTCATTAATTGCAGCAGTGGACACTTTAACAACATCTGTACCAACATTGGACCAGCACATGGTTCATGTCTCAGAAACATCATCACGATTCAAGACAAGTAGTTCATGGGAGTGCCAAGTGATGGTGACGTCGACTCGGATGATGCAGGTTTTGCAGAGATATTCTGGCGCACAATCGACCTGAAAAACTTGAATAATCAATCTCCAACTCGTTTAAGAGCTGGTTGCAACGGTCAGCACGGGCAAATCCTTTGGGTGTCCTCACGAAGGGATGTTATAGTACGTCCTGAAAGGCTACAACATGCAAACCACCGTAAAGGTGCCAGTTCTCGTACCAATCAGAGTACGACAGTGTTCCAAGAGTCATCGAATCAGCTAGGGGTCTCGTTCTGTCGGCATCGTCCACCAAACGTCTTATAGTCCGCCTGAGTCAACTGAACCTACAGATTGAGGCACCGGACATCAGCCTGCGATCATCTGGTTCAGGTCGGGTTCATCTATTTACCCGCCAGCCATGATGAAATGACTAAAATAAAACAGTAAAACAAACCGCTGCTGATACGAGTTGTTACTCCCAACTTAACCACTGTTTCTCTAACCCCAAACCGCTCTGCTGACTCCGCGGCCTCCCGGCTCAGGCGCAGACCAACGACCCCCGGTCCTGGCTGCACCGGGCGCTGACGATCGTGCTGCCATCCGCGCCGGGCAAGCCGCTCGCTGACGTCAGCATCTTGCGCGCCGCCAACTTGGCGCCGTCCTCGATGACGTTGAAGTTGCGCACGGTGACGCCCGCCGCCAGGTTGAACTGGTTGAAGGTGCTGTCATATGACGTCAGCGAGGAGACGCGGTAGTCGGCGGTTTTGCCCTCCACCAGGAACTCGTGGCCGGTCAGGTTGGTCGTGACGGCGTTCTTCCGCTCAATAATGTCGGGGCGGAACATCTGGCCCTGCAGCGGAACCGGAACGAGGCGGATCTCAGTGAACGGCAACACAAGGGGGGACGAACGAAATGGATCGCAGCCTCGGCCCTGCGGAAGCAAAGACCGATGAAAAAGGAAGGCTTCGGTCGCAGCTTTCGAGTCTGCAGAATACTTGGGTCCTGAGGAAAGAGATACCGACCTGGTTACTATTAGCTGAGAGACTGCAGTCAAAGCGCTAGGCGTTCCGAAATCCGGTTGTGATTACCCGCTCGTAATGCCCACCGCGAGAGAGCTTGCAGCGCCACCAGCCAAGGACATTGTCACAATGATTGCAAACGACTCGTCTTTCCCGCTCACTATTGTGGGCTTCGATAGTCATACTGGTAACTCCGGGATGACTTAACGGGTGAGTGACTTAAGATTCACAACTCCCGACCAAACAAACTAAAAAAGCTAACCCAGATAATCACCCGCTCCGCACCCGAACCCACCCTAACCACCATGCTAACCCCACCCGTCCTCCGGGTGCCTATCTTAAGTCACCCCGCTGTTAAGTCACTCTCTAAATACCAGACTTTGATAGTCCCTTTATTAGAACAGCGCAATGATCGTGAAATCGTGGGGGGACACGTAGCTTACCAGGACGCCGTGGGAGTGGCGGGAGATGGCGAGGGTGTCCATGTCCATGTCGAGGTACTTGCCGAGGGGGTCCAACTAGAGAGGGCAAGGAAAAGAAAGCGTCAGAACAGCAGATGTAGAAGTTCGAGGAAAGACAGACTCGCGTTCAAAGCGCGAGAGGCGGAAAGAGCGTCAGAGGAGCAGATGCAAAGCTTCGAGGGAGGGGAAGAAGGTTTATAGGGCGCGCAGAGCAACTTTCGTGCGCCGGAGTCTATCGGACGCAGGCAGCGGTTGTCCGACGCAAAGTAAATGGTTTCAGACATAGGAGCAATCCGCCACCAAAGACAGCTTTAAATGAATTGTAAGCGCAGCCCGATACAAGAGCGCGTAGCTTTTTCCGATCAAAGCGCGTACCTGGATGCGGCTCTCGATCCGAGGGAAGAAGGTGGCCTTAAAGAGGCCCTCAATCTCCACGTGAGCGAAGGCGCGCTTGTGCGCTTCGCGCGTGATGGTCGCCCGGCTGTCGGGGGAGGTCCACGTGTACTCGGCGGTGCCCTGCGCAGTTAGTAGACACGGTTAAAGTGAAAAGCTATATCCGAAACCTGAAATTGCATGGTTGGGTGCTTTGAGAAGCTGTTCAAAAGCTGTGGGAAGTTTAGCTTCGACTTTCCATTCTTTCGAGCGGCCTCAAGAAAGCAGAATTCTGCATAGCAAGACGAGTTCCAAAGAACAAAGCCACCTGACCCGACAACGGATGCTCGAACAAGTCAAATATCAGGTTGATGGATCTTCTTTTGAAACAAGTCTTAGGAAAGCGCCGTCTTTGTGACAAAGTGTCAGTATGTTCCAATAACCCGGATCGACAGGAGCTTTTTTTTGAGAGGCATAAATGCAAGCATTTCCACGAGATTTAAAGTGGAGCTTAGCGAGCCGACTGGGATGTCCTCTCCGTCGAAGGTGAAGAAGAAGACGTCAGCAGCCTCAAACTCCTTCTCCTGGTCGATCCCAACTGTCACGAAGTGGGTGACGCCAGACTCGTTGTTGTAACCCATGCCCACTTCCTGCAAAAACCATGGGTCAAGAGACGGGTCAGGGCTGGTTATGTGACGTCTGCCCTAAAGCCTCAGCTATAAAGCGGCAATACGACCAGAGAACGAAGCGGAAACTCTGTCGCCTATGCAGCAGCCATGGAAAACCCTGGAAGCGCCCTCTTGCAGAAACCAGAGTTCTGTGTTGTATGCTGAGTTTCGCTTCCCTTCCCCTTTAGGTGCCAGCCCGCAGACCGGACTTACCCTGACTGGGTACTCGACGGGAGACT